AAGTAGCGTACAACAGGAGGTGCTCGGCGGGAAGCCATCTTTCTCCCAATTTAACTTGGCTACAAAATTTTCATAAAAATCGTGATAGCCCTCCTCTAGGCTGCAGGCCCCCACCATGCAAATTCACTCAAAGGCGCTTATTCACATATAAAACCTCAGTGGCTAAAACCAGCACACCCCACCGGCGAGGGGGTTGCGATTGTTCGATCCCACTTTAAAAGGATGCCACTCGGTTTGCCTGCATGGCCTCCTACAAGGCTATGCATGCTGCTCCCTAATTCGGACCGCAGCTCTCAGTGTATTCAAAACGATTCGCCTAGTTCTCTCAGGCGCAACGCTGCGTGGTGATCCTTGTTCTTTCAACCCCCGTTGAGCGTTCCCTCAGTCGCAGTCTCCCTTTCGCACTAGCAGCGCGCTGACGCCTCTGCCCCTCCCTTCTCCCCGAAGTAGACTTGTACCCGACAGTCCGTTGCCGTCCAGGTTTCATACCCCCGTACTGCTTCTGCCAAGACGCAGTCTAGCTCCCCATGGCATTCCACGCGCTCTCTCTTGGCTGTTACCTCTACTTGTGCGCCTAAGCCCCCTGTGCATGCATCTAGAACCATTCGTCAAAAAACCTGTAGCTCATCCAACAGTCCTTCTGCTTTTCGAAAAATGCTCCCATTGCGGCTCCTGCCGCTCGCTGCTCTCCTCTGCGCCGCGGCATCTCGAGTGGTCATTCGCTCGCCTTCAGAGAGAGAGCAGCAGCAGCAGCAGGTATCCTTTTCTGGCCCTCTGCACTATCGCCGTCCCCCCAGTTACTCCTTGTTGCTCTTGCAACAGGCGCAAACGCGCGGCAAGCGGCAACTCGACACTTCGCCGGTACAGGCAGAGAGCCGTCAACCTAGCTTGCTCCGGGAGCGGGGTGGCAAAACACAGGCCCGCTTTTTTTTTCTCTCTCTCTACACATATATATATATATACATATATGTACAAGGTATTGCATCCTCTAGAATAAACTGACAACGCAGCTCTTCAAGCACTTGGTTGTGCAAGGCCATCACAACACTACATCAGCGGTAAGCTGCAGAAGGCGTCTGCCACCTACACGGGCTGCGTTTCCATCGTGAGACTGTGGCTACGAGACTGCGTTACAGACGTTGCTGGTGCATGCCCCCCCATAGCGAAGCTCGTTGCTGTCTCCTCAGCGTGTTTGACAACTTCGAGCGCATGCGTTACTGCCGCTTCTTCGGCCCGAAGCCAAGCATATGCCACAACAACATCTGCGGAGGCAGGCACTGGTCTGGCTCCCGTGTTTGAACTACTTTTAACCACGGCAGACTCACCGTCCTCTAACAACGCCTCCGGTCCAGACTGCACTGCAGCAGTAGACGCGAAACTGGCTAGTGGTGCTGCTGCTGCCGCCGCTTCTTCTGTCGTCGGGGTACAGCTCGATGTCACGCTCCGGGAGGAAGCCTCCTCACTGCAGCGCATCCGCTTTCGGCGAGTCTCTCTCGGTTTGTCTTCCGACAGCAAGACTCCGTCTTCATCAGCCTGCTTCTGCTGCTGGGGAGGGCTGTCACTACGGCAGCTGGCCACGCATGCTTCCAGCGGAGATCTCGAGGAAGCCGAATCTGCGCCGCTCGATGCTTGAAAGTCTGTGGCACTCACGTCAACTCCTCTAGCCCGCTGCTGTTGCTGCTGCTGCTCATCCTGTGGCTCTGCAGGAGACTCCCTATGCTGCGCACAGGGGCTGTTCGTCGGCTGCCTTTGCGACGTTTCTTGGATAAGCGACGCGGCATTGGACGGCTGCTGGCTCTGCCGCTCCTGCAGCGGTGTCTGGGAATACCTTTCCTCCTTCACAATGCGGCTTGCCGCTGACGTTTCTGGTGATGCGGCTGCCTTCTTCAGTTTCCTGCTGACCCTCTGCTCAGCCATCTCCCGCAAGAAATCCTCCAGCTGCTCTCTGATCGCAGAAGAGGACAAACACACACACACACATACACACGCAGATTGCGAGCTGCACATAAACACACCGGAGCCCCCGCTGCAAACACTGCCACACTCACCCCCAGTGCGACTGCCAACAGCCTTCCCCCACAGCCGCACACCTCGATGCTCTGAATGCAACAAACACTGCATTCTTGACTGGATCTCGCAGCTGTAGCAGCAGCCCTGACGGCAGCAGCCGCTTCCGCATCCACTGCCAGTGCTGCAGCAGCTTTTTACTGCAATCCAGTCGAGACAAGAAGTCGTCGTTCGGCATCAGCACGCAGTCATATCTGGAGAGCAACGACAGCAGCAACAAGCGCATGCTCGAAGGGATCTTACAGCAGCCCTTTTTTACAGGGCCGCCTTCCTGGATCGTCGTTGCACGAAAGGCGCGCCGCACAAAAAGGAAAACAAAAAACCACGCAAAGCAGACCCCTCAAACTGCCGCAGCACCACCTTACCCGAGAAGCCTGCTCAGCTGCCACTCTGCAAGAGCCTCCAAAAACTTCCGACTCATTGCAAACCGTGTATCAGGAGACAGTGCGCGTCGCAATAAGGCCACGTTGAACGGCACTGGGGTAAAGCTGTGCAGCATGCGAAGCAGCAAACATCGCAAGAGTCATGACACAGCTCCCCGACTGGTGTTGCTGCACAGAACGGCGGCACGTGCGCAGCTCGCTAGCCGCACATACGTAGATGCAGCCGTCGGCAACCCTCCGAAGAAGACGCCTCCTGCTACTGGTGGCTTGTGCTATCTTCAAGTACTGCTCTGCAGCGATTTTACCGCCAGTTTGCCAGCGTCTCAGAGTAAATTGGGGGTCCACGAATTTTCCCCGCCTCCCCTCCCCCCTTCCCTCTCTAAAAGACTACTGACTTGACTTGCAGATAGGCGAGTCGCAGCAGGAGACCACCGTGCGCGTCGGTTCCCCAGTCTACGAATTTCGGATACGACTCCCATTCTTGTGTGGAAAGGAGGGCGCAGGAGTGCACTTCTGCGGAGGAGTCTTTGAGGGAGCCGCCGCTGCTGCAGCCGCCGCCACCGTTGAGGCTACGCTTCTGCTGGGGCCGATGATGAGGCAATCCTAGCGTTTCCTCGGGGGATTCAAAGAAAGCCTTGTGATCCTTCGTACAGCGCTCGAGGTTTGAAACGTAGCAGCGGAGGTTCCTCGTCGCAATGCGGCTGACACCCACCCTTTGCAGCAGTTCCTGCCGCAAGGCTTGCGTTTGCTCGCGCTCGCCTTCCCGTCCAGGCGCTTTCAAGGCACCCACCACGACGCTTTTTCCCCCCCCCTCCGAGTAGCTCGTCTCCTCACCCCTGCTTACCGGCGAAGAGACCTCTAGGCGCAAGACTTCGACGTCCCCGCTGCTGCTGCTTCGGCTTGTTTGACTGCTCTTGACGGGGGGAGCTGTGGCGTAATCCGCGAGGCTGCGTGCCGCCTGCGAAGCCTCTTCTCGCGCAGTCGCCAGTCCTTCCCGCAGCGACTCCAGGCGCTTGATGGATTCGTTGTACCTGAGCAAATGCGGCAGCAAATGCGGCAGCGAATGCGGGAGACTCTGCACCCGCTACAGGCCTGTCTGCGATTCGGGTGTACAGACAGGCAGCCAGGAAGACGGCTCCAGACAGGAGGCAAGACTGCGCCGCGAGGCATCCAGCGGCAGAGCGACACGCCAACACACCTGTCTCTGAGGGCGTCCATCTTCTTCCGCAGTTCTCCCCCCAGATCCGAGAGGGAGCTCTGACGAGCAGCAAGCCACAGCAAGCAGCAGCACTGCGACAAACAGCTTTCAGCGAGCACTCTTTACACATACGAAGGCCTTTCTTAGCTGGCTGGGGAGACTCCACTCGATCCTCCGCTGCCGCCGCACTGGAAGGCTGCCTTCCGTGGAGCTCTGCGCGCTGATCGATGCCGCCATCATCGTGGAGCAGAGCAGCAGACGCTACACGCGACACAAAGCCATGGGCTCCCGCCTCGCGAGGAAACACCTACCCAAGGCTCCCACGTGCTGTCTTCATCGGCGTAGTCTAGCCACAGTACGAAAAACTTCTCCTGGCCACAAATTATGGAGATACACATCGAGTTGTGCGACATACGTACATATACATGCGAGCAAATCCACATACAAACATGAATACTCCCATACATTCTTGTGAACGTGTATGCAGGATGCGGGATTTCGGCTGGACATGGTTTGAGTGCGACGTATTCTGCAAGGCTTGCTGCTTCGAAGAGGGCGTGAAAGATGCGAGGACGCTGGCTAGCTGCTCAGAGGCATGATTAATGCTGTCTTTCTCGGTGTTACGCCTGGAGCGCGTAGTGGTGCTGCTGCTGCCGCCGCCGATGCGGCCAGCGCAGCGCACACACGCACCACTTTGTTGTCGATTCTGTAACCCCTGATATCTCTGACTTGGTAAGTTGTGTTTTTGGCGTTGCGAGGCTTCCCCGCAGCCTTTCCGGCGAGCTTTTTCGTTGACGGCATCGCCGCTGCGCGTGGCTTCTGCTGCTCCGGCTGCCCGCGCGGAGTTAGTTCGCTGCAAACGGCTACCGCGGCGGTGGCGAAGGCCTCTGTGCAGCTCGCGAATCGGAATTGTGCGCAAACAGCTGCTATCGCCGCCGCAGGTGCTTGCATGCGCTTGCATGCGCTTGCATGCGCGCTTGCTCGAGTAGGGGCCTTGGGAGGAGAACTGCCGCTCAGGCGACGATCCTGCGGCGGATCGACGTCCGCACGGCGGCGGAGTTTAATTAACCCAATTCTGGCAGCTAAGGAGCCACGCTAAAAATAAATATATGTATATATATTTCTCCCAAAGTGCCTTCTACTTTTTCTGCCGCTTTGAAAAGAGTGTGTGTGGCTTTTGCTCTGTGGAGGGCACTCCTCCCTGCGCCACCTCTGCGCTTGAGGGGCCAGCCAGTTAGCACTCGCTCGCGCAGCAGCAATCAGTAGGGGTTTACTCAGACGCAGCTTGCACCTGCAGAAAGCAGCGCGAGTCATCCTAAGAAAGCAACTGCACCAAAATTCTTCACTCTAAGATGCAACCCACAGCCCCACAACATCAGTGCCGACGAAGACGAGTTGACGGTTGCGATGCTGCTGCTGTGTGGCAGCGGCTGTTCATGGCAGCCGCTGCCACACAGCAGCAGGTCTGACGAACACAGCGCAGCACTGCGTGCTGCCCTCGTTAGACTACTCCCTGCACGAAGACACGGCGCACCGAAACGCGCACGCTTCGCGGTGACAAACGCATGTATCCCGCTGCGTTAATGCTCATAAATGTATATTCACGAATTGCACACACGCAGGGTGCAACTGAGCGCGGAGGATCGACAAAGACGGACAGTGCTGCTGCTGCTGCTGAAGGAGCAGCAGCAGCAGCAGCAAATCCGCTGACCAGGTAAAGCGGGTGGCAGCTGCTGCTGCTGCCGTGCTGCCGCGATTTTGTGCCACACGAAGCCGGAATAAGAATGTCTCGGATAGAATTAATGTTTTCTGTTGATTAGGGTGTTGCTGCTGCAACAATTGCGGCTGCTGTCTTCGGCAGCAGCAGCAGCAGCAGCAGCTGCTGCGCCCTGCAACAGAGGCAGCTCGTGTAGTGACTGCGCAGCCCGCTTCCCTTGCAGCCTTCTTTCATCCGCACATAATTTTCTGAGTCTGGAGATAGTATCAAGGATTGGCTGCAGCGGAAGCAGCCTAGCGGTGACGCCAGCGCAGGCAAGCAGCGGCAGCAGCTCAAGACGGTGTCTGCATTGCCTCTCTGGCGCGTCTGCGCATTCGTTTGCCTGAGAATTAGCTGCAGCAGCTCACCCTGCTGCATGCGCACACCTGTTTCTGCTGCCCACCCCAGCAGCAGCGGCAGCAGCTCCCCATACGACCCCAGAAAGCACTAGTTCAGTTCCCCCCCAGCGAGCGGAGTGACGATGGAGGGCAAGCAGCAGCAAGGCTCAACGGAGCAGCACGAGCAGCAGCAACAGCAGCACGAGCAGCAGCAGCAGCAGCAGCACGAGCAGCGGTCTCTTTCATCAGCAGGCTCGCCCCCTGCAGCCGGCGACAGCAGCATCAACAGGCGCGCCAGTGATGCGGCAGGAGAGGCGCAGGAAGACGACGATACGTCCTTCGACTTGACGGTGCAGACACTGGACAGGCAGCAGTTTAGAGTGACCGCCTTCACAGGTGCGGGTACCACTACTACTGCTGCTGCTGCGTCGCGCTGGTGTCTGCATGCATGTGTAAGCCTGGGCGGCCGTTGCTGCATTCGCTGCTTGCGAGAGTATCTCATGGTGGTCTGCAAAGCGCCTCTCGCTTCCGCTTCCTCTTTGCGCTGTCTGTAGACTGGACTGCGCTGCAGCTGAAGGAAGCCTTAGGTCCTCGCCTTGGATATCCTCCCGAGGAGCAGCGTCTCGTTGTACAAGGGCATGTGTTGCGGGTGAGTGTGGGCAGCTGGCATGCATTTGCTGCTTTTCTGAGCAGCAGGCAGCAGCTTTGGAGTGCGCAGCGTCTGAGCGCTCTCTTCTCCGTGGAGAGGGGCTGCTCTGCCACGCTCTTGCAGGCGCTTGAGGCTTTTTCTGCGTGTGTCGAAGGATGGCGAGACTCTCGAGTCAGTAGGCTTGCGCAGTGGCGGACCTCTGCTGCATGTTGTTCGCAACGCAGCGAGACAAAGACGCGGTGAGTGGCAGAAAAACCTTTCTGAAGTCTTGCGTGTCTTTTCTTCTTGCGTCGCCTCCCACACGGCGAGCGGCAGGCACGAGGGCTGTAGATTTCCGGCTGCGTCGCTCACTGGTCAGTTGTGTTTGCGTTCGGGTGTATCTACACGCGGGCATGAAATGCTGCAGGTGCTGCTGCGGGGGGACCGCGCGCATCAGCAGCGCCTGCAGCGGCGGCTGCACCTGCTGCTCCGCAGGAGGAGATGATGCAGCAGCTGATGCAAACCCCCTTCATGCAGCATCTCTTCGAAGACACCGACCTCATGCGAAGCCTCATTGAGTCGAACCCTCATCTGCAAGCGCTGAGGGAGCAGAATCCAGACATCAACGGACTTCTTTCCGATCCACAGGTGCCTTGTCGCGAGCCTCTCTCAGTAGTGCCTTTCTGGATCGAGGAGAGGCGCTCTCTGCACAGACGCTGGCGTGTCCTCTTTGCGTGTGCTGCTTTGCTGTGCCTGTCTGTCTCCGCTTTTTTGCGCGAGACGAGGCAAAAGGAGGCTGGCAGGCATCCTCCGCAAGACGCTGCGGCGCACGCAGGAAGTAGAAGAGGGGATTCAGTTTCACGCCACCGAAGGAAAGAGAGAGAGAGAAAAAAACCTTCTGACCGCCTTTTATGCGCTGCAGCTCTTCCGAATGAGTATGGATGCCATGAGGAATCCTTCCTTGCTGAGAGAAATGATAAGAAATACGGATAGGGCCCTTGCCAACATCGAGGCTGTCCCCGGCGTGAGCGATAAGAAGGCTGGCTATTGGTTGGCGTTTGCTGTTTTTCGCTCCTTTTGGCGAAATGCGGTGGCGCTGTCTGTGGGGTGTCGGTGCCAGCTAGCTAGCTAGCTAGCCAGCTAGCTGCTGTGCTGCTGCTTCCGTCTTGTTGCTGTTTTTTCGCCGGTAGCTGCTCGCCCGAAGGAGCTGCTGCGAGAAGGTGCTGGTTCTGTCTTTTTCGTCTCTTTCTCTGTCTCTCTTTCGGCTGTAGGGCTTTAACGCTCTGACTCGGGTGTACCGCGGCGTGCAAGAACCCATGCAGGATGCAGCACTGCACATGGCAGAGACTCTTAGAAATGAGGGCAGCGCGCATCTACCGTCGAGACCAAGTGCTCTTTCAGGAAGCTCTTACGAGCAGCGGACTGATGCAGGCCCTACGAGAGAGGCCTTACCCAATCCGTGGGGTGAGTTTTGCTGCTAGTTGCTGCTGCTACCGTCGCTGCGGCTGCTGTTGTTTCTCTCTTTTCTCCAGTGAGGCGCTGCTGCGGCAGCTAGACGCGAACGGCGGCAGCTCCAGGCAGAGGCATACACCCCGTGACGGCTCGGGTATCTTCAGCGTCGATGCGGCTTGCTGCAGCACCGAGACAACCGCAGCCGCGCCAGAGGGGGGCGGAGCAGCAGCTGCAGCAGCTCCAGCAGCAGCATCAGCAGCAGCAGCAGCAGCAGCAGCTCCAGCAGCAGCAGCAGCAGCGGCAGCACGCGTCGGGGGAGGCTGCAGAGCGGCAGTTTCTGGAAGGGTTTGTTAGGGCAATGCAACAACAGCAGCAGCCACAGCATCAGCAGAGCCTTGCAGCGTCGGGATCGGTAGGTTTTTTTGTAGCTCTGCCAGCATCTTTTGTAGCAGGCCTATTTAGGAGTCCATATACAGCCGCTTGTAGCAGTTTCTGAAGGATGTGCATGCTCATTTTGTCTGTCGCTACGTGCCTTTTATCCTCCTTAGGTTCCAGCGGGAGCACAGACCTCGAATGTTGCACCTGTACCTGATGGTGCTGCTCCTCAAACGCAGAGCAGCGTAGCAGCAGCTGCAGCCGCGGCTGCTGCTGCTGCTATGCTTTCTGATGCGTCGCAGGGAGCTGCAGTTCCTCCTGCTGCCTTGTGGGATCTGGGGAGCCTTGGCTCCGTATCCTTCGATTTCTCCAGGTAGCCAGCCTGCTCAGCGCTTCTCCGACTGTCTGGTGCATTTCATGTCGCCACTGCTTTCTGTGCCGTAGTTCAGCTACTCTCCGTCTATTTTCTTGCGCTTCTGCCTTGGTTCTGTTGCATCTGGGAGCGGCCTTTTCATCTCCGAGGGGCTTGTTTCTGCGGCGTCGATCTTGCTGCTCTCAGAATGAATCTCGCAGGCTTCCCTAGGCCCCAGTCGAGTGGACAAACGTTACAGCAACAACAGGGATTGCCGCAGTCGCAGCAGCAGTCGCAGTCGCAGCAGCAGTCGCAGCAGCAGTCGCAGTCGCAGCAGCAGTCGCAGTCGCAGCAGCAGTATGCGCATCAGCTCGAATCCCTCAACGCTATGGGATTCTCGAACCAGGCTGAGTGCTTGTGGGCTCTGCAGCAAACTGGAGGTACGCAGTGTATGCCAATATGCTGGTGCCGCGCAGGTTGTCGGAGCCTGTGGAGGGTCTATTCGAAGGGGCGCCCCCTGCACATGGTGTCTTCATCGCCTTCTTTTAACGCGCTTCAGGCTGCTTTTTCGCTGCGGCTTCTCTTTTAGGCAATCTGAATAGGGCAATCGACCTGCTGCTGGCTCGGCATCAGTAAGACCCTCCTCGAGGAACCACAGGAACGGCTGCATTTCATCGGGGGCACGTTATCTGCGAGGACGCTTGTTGGCGTGTTCCTGTCGGTAATGCAGCAAGCATCAAAGTGTGCCTCTGCAGGTCGCGTGATGGCGTGGCTGCGGGAGTCGAGCTTGCGCATGCCTGTGTCTGTCACCCATAAATAGAGGGCAGACAGGGGGCTTCTTCCCCAAGGCAAAGGGGCTTCACAAGCTCGCGAGGGCACCCAACAGGTTCTGAATTTAGGGAGGGGAGTAAGAGGCACACCAACACGCGGGCTCCCCACTGCCTGCGTTTTTGCTGTCTGGCGCTCCCCGAGTAGCGCGTGCTGCTGCTTGCACGGCAGCAGCAGTAGTAGTAGCCCATGTGGCATCTAAGGGCCCGTGCTTGTCAGTCTAATACTGCCGGCTGCACTGAGAGAAGGCGCTTTGCGGCAGCAGTTAGTCGGTCGTTTGCTGCTTGCGGCAGGACAGAAGCGGCTCGACCCTCCGGCAGCAGAGTTTCCTTCCTGTGTGCGGCGGTTCTAGTGGCGCTGCTTGGCAAGGCGTGCTGCCACTTCTACCCGTTACACATGATCTAGATGGGGTGTTTTGTTTCCTGCATGGCAACGCCTCTCGCGTTGGGAAGTGTGTGTAGCAGACACGGCCGGGTTTGACTTTTATAACAACCCTTAAGGAGGGGCCTGTTTAACACACGAGCAGTGCAGGGCCCCGGGGGTGGGGCCCCCTGCAGGGGTCTAGGGTAATATTGTGTAGGCGCGGAGCAGGCTATTCCAAGCGCATGGCTACTAGTTGCGGCTGACGTCGAGCCTCTAGGAGCTAATGGGCAGGGAGCTGTCTGAGCTCTACGCTTGTGAGCGCTAGAGGATGTGAGGGCTGGTGCTCGAGAACTGCCCCCTCCCTCCCCGAGCCAAGGGCCCCTCCATGGGAACAGATTTTGGGGACCTCGCACGGAGCCACGCAAATTGCGTTGCACTCGGCGACGACGGCGAGGACGAGTGCCTGCCGAACGCCTGCGGGAGGGAGATGCGAAAGGCCAAAAGGGGCTCCTGAGAGAGGCCGCATGCAGACAGTGGCGGGAAGGCACGAGTCTCTTTTTGCCTCGAAAGGCCTCACGGCAAATCGTGCCGATGGAGCAACACCGGGCTGCAGCTCGAAAAACTGCTGCTCCCGTTGCGGCGAGTAGAAAGAAGGCCTCAAGGCAACTGTTCAGGCTTGCCGCGTCTGGAGAGTAGAGGCATATAGAGGGGCCCTCCCTTCTCACGGGCGGGGAGCTCAAAACGCTTCACAGAGTCGTACGTACTACTGCTCCCCGTGGGGCCCCTGGGGCGTTCGTGCAGCGGCGGCTGCTGCACTTTCCGCCGCTGCTAGCATTGCGGCAAGCCTTCTCTATGTGTGGGAAGAGCCTGCGTTCCGCCCTAGTGCGTCTCACTCCCAGGAGCCTGCTGTCGTTGCTGTTGCAGGCCCTGTGGCTGCTGCTGCTGGGGAATGTTGTGTATGTACTTGCTAAGGACCTTGTTGAGTTCAAACATGGACATCTCGCGCTGCCGCAACAGCGGCATGAGGCGCTCGTCTGCAACAACTATCCTGCGGTTCTCCTTCTTCTGAAGATCCTTTTCTTTGATATACGCCCAGATGAATTTTGTAACCTCCACACGAGACGCCTGAGACTTGCCCATGAACTCGGCTAAGGGGCTCGCAAGGTCGCACACCTTGTGTAGCCCAGTGGTCTTTCGAGGGCTTTTCTCGGTGTCATCGGTGCTGCTGCTGCTGCTGCTGCTGCTGCTGCTGGGAGTGGGAGACACAGTCGCGCTGTGGCTTGGTGACCCTATTGAAAAGAAGCAGCGAACAGACAGCAGGGTGTCTGCCCTTCCCCTGCTGGTCGAAATAACTCGGGAAGCTGCACTTAGAGCCGCAGCTGCTGCTGTCGCCGGTGCTGCACGGACTGGCCCCTGCCAGGAAAATTGCGGAGGGCCGCTGGTCGTGTGCAATGCAGGGAGACGCGTGAAGAGTCTTCGGATTGCCATTGCTACCACCTCACCCGACAGTGTATCTTGCGTGCCTCGACGGTAATAGGGCTGGGACTTGGCCGTTCTGCACAAACCAATGGGTGGAAGTCAAGACACGGACCCTGAGTGGACGGCTGCTGGTGCTGTTGCTGGTGCTGTTGCTACACCTGCCAGTGCTGCTGTTGGAGCAGCTTGCCTGCATGCTCCTCAATTCACAGTAAGTAGTGCACTTTATTTTTGCGAGACAAATTATCGGCACACGTAAAGGCTCAGATCGGGAGGGAGGAGCCCCCTGCGCAGACCGCTGCCGCCGACGACGACGACTACTACAGGCAAGCTGCCAGGGGCCTCTCCATGAAGCAACACAGCCGTATTTCTTCTCTTTCACTTCCCCTTTGAATCAAACTCGAATGACTATGGCTCAGAATAATGGAATCAAATGACAAAGGTGTTCTTACACAAAATAGGCACTTTAGCTATGGTGCCCAGAGATGTGTATGCGTGGGCTAGGGCTTTAGGTTGAGTGTCAGGGTTGACAGTTTGGAAAGTATCAAACAGCGAAGCAGCTTTCCCGTCTGACAGCTCGACTTTATGAATGTATCTCTTCAAGCTATGGGGCCCTCGAAGGCTTGCGGTGTCCCTATGATAAGCTTTTTGAAGGAAGGGGCCTGTGGCTTATAGATTCGGTACGCAGTGCCTAGTTTTATGCGTGTGATTTGCGATTTAAGATGTGGAAGACTGGAAAAGAGAGGGTGGCTTTCTACAGTAGCACTTGCGTGCTAACAAGAGCCATATTTTTAACGGAACACTTTTTAACTGGGACGGTGCTGGCTGTGCTACACAAAACTGTATACTAGTTAAATCAAAGGATAATGAGTTTTAAGCACACTAATCAGGTTGGTCTTCAATATGTTTTCTTCATTGCTGAAGTGCATTGGCTCGATACAAAGAGGCGCAGTGTTGTCTGCACGTGGGCTAGATGCTGCATCCAACTAGCCGTGAAGGCTAGGGATGCTTCTTTTGGGGAAACAGTTGATAACTTTCTCTCCAGTTCATTTTGAGTACGCAACTGATTGTATCCCGAAGGATACCTTAGATGGAACGTTACAGAGGCTGCATGAGGTTGATGGGTTTAAGGAGGAATAGGACAGGGGTTCACACGAGGCTGCCCTGATAAACTGAGGCGGAGGCCTCATGTGTGGCTGGCTAATCCTACGCGTCAGCTTACGGCACTTTGCCGACAGCGGCACAATGCCCTATAAAGAGATGGCAAAATTATGGTTGGAGGGCAGAGGGATGCAATGTTTGGCCATGTGCTAGGGCACATGCACACCCCAAGGACAGCTGTCTGAAAGAAGCAGGTGACAAATGCACATTATAAGGTAGAGGAATGCGCAAGGTTCCCCAACGTGGTCCAATGCTGTGAGCTTTGGGCACCGTGAAGACGCGCCGAATACCCCCAAATTCTCCTTCATAAGCATATTAAAATCATGGTGAGCATTTTTGGGGTCAGCTTCTGCGTTTCCACGTCAACTGCTGTGTGCCAAGCTCCTCAGAATGATGCTTGTCACGGGTGGGTTGGTTCAAAGCCATTTGTGGGGGTGACGGCATCGAACCATTGCGTATCTCGTGTCTTGCGGTGCTGCAAACTCGGTAGAGGGCCGCTTTAGCTCCCAGGCACCAAAGGATTGAAAACACTACAACAGTATGAATACTGCGAACAACCGAGGGACCCCTCGCTTTGCCTTGAACCACAGCAGAACACCGTCAAAGTGGTGTGGCTTTATTCACGTCTTTGCCACATGAGGGCTTCGCAATGTTGACGGATGCATGGATGTAGAGAAGCATCATTTGATGCGATTTCAATGCAAAGCGTAAAACAACCCAGACGAGGGGAGTTGCGCTGCACAACAGTGAAGTGCTGGGACGTCGCCGGAACGGATCAGTGACCGCGTTGATGGTGCCCTTACTGCACTTCGCTGTAATGTCGTACTACACAAACCCCCCGAGCCAGAAAACAGCTTAAGGACTTGTATACGGCTTCTGGAACCTTTCTTGAAGAGCACAGAAGACTGACGGTTGGTCAGGACAGTAGAATGACGTCCAATAATAAAGTGCTGACATTTTTTCGTACGCCCAGCATCACTAAGAGTTTCTTTTCCCGCAATGGATGCCGCTGCTCGCTTTCTGTGAAACTAACCGTTTGCGTCGTGGCTTTTGCAGACTCTAAGTTTCTTATATCTTGACAGGCCGACTTGTGTCCTTCTTTTTCCAGAAGATGTTGTAGTAAGCACTCGTTCCTCTTCACCGAGAACGTTGCAACAGGCTGCACAACCTTGTCAAGGCATCCATAAACATAGTGTTGGATAAAAAGTCATCCCCTTCTATCAAATGAGGTGCTACTGTGTTCGCACCAGCTTTCCGGCTGGCCTAGGGCACTCTACAGTCATAGTCCCACTATCAACCTCCACTTCGAAAAAGACTTTCTTGAGCCTGCTGCCAAAGAAAATCAGATTGATGAATGACGGGAAAACTTGATCAGTGCCTGGCAGTAGCTGGAGGAAAACTGTCATCCTACTACATCCCCCACTGTTACATGGGCGGGGAAGAGCTGCAGCGAACCATGAGGTGTAACCTCAATTGTAACGTTCCGTCCATTGCCTCCGTAGGAGAACGTTTCTTCCAGACTTAGTGCGAACTAAAGGGAAATACATTGAACCTTTTGCAATGCAGTCCTACTTTCTCCCTGCCGCGCCCACCAGTTCCAAAAATGAGAGGGCAGGGGCAGCCAGGCCGTGCGCTGCTGTACCCTTTGAACCCTTTTAGCATTCACAGTTACTTGCACATCACATATCTAGCACGCACGCACACAAGAGTTGCTTTGTATTGCATTGAGCTGTCGCTGCTGAGCTACTCTGCAATTAGGAAGCTGTACGAACACCCAAAGTGAAAAGCTAGTCCTTCCCTAATTGGTGGTCAAGTGTAACTCCTACAGTAGGAAGCTCCGAAGTGTGGCTTATTCCGCTACAAGGCTCCTCTACAACAACGTTTATTGCAAGACTTCCCAGAGGAGTACCGTCAGCATGGACTCAAAACGATGGGCATCAGCGGTTTGGATAAAACCAAAAGAGAGAGCATTCACGGAGCGGTGCAGTCCCTGGTGCAGACACAAAAACAAACAGTCTAGACTGCTGGATATTCCAGACAGTTAAGCACGACAGACTATTCACAAACCCCAGTCGCACATAGACGCAGCTTGCAAGCCTTATAACCTTAACCCCCCGATCTTCTGTTAGCTCTAGTCTGCCCGACATCCTACCCCCTCCAATATAAAACGAGAAGCCCTAGTCGCTAGAACCCGAAGCCTCAAAGCCTTGATCCCAAGCTCTAGGCTGCACTCCTCGTGCCTTTAAAGCCTTTTAACAGGGGTGCTGTCGGCCTCAAAGAGTTCAATCAGTAGGCCCTGATTTCGGTGGTCTTCGATCAAACCCGAGACAATACAGCGTAAAGCGTTACGCCTGAAAGCCAGTGCTTTTGAGTCTTTACCCTCACTACCATAAACTTGGAAGAAGAAACAATATAATACCAAGTACCAGCGCGTGTATCTCAGTCACTCCGATTAGGAGCTTCCAGCAGACCGGACGCCTCCGGGCGGGGGCCCCCCGACTCTTGGCCCCAGTGTGTAGTTAATGCCGTGCGCACCGGCCAGCTACACTTTGATTGTTTCTTCGAAGAATCGCGTCAAGCAGTTGATCTTCAAAATCGCGTGTCAAGCCTACGCAGGCTCACTTGCACGCCTAAAGGACCCCAGTGCGTGCAGACGTTGGGGTGGGGGGCGGTCCTTGCCTTGTCTTTACACCAGTTGTACGCGAAACGCAGCAAGAACTTCACGCTCATCAGGCTGCACATGCGCATTTGAGAGCGTTACCACCCAGAGAGGCGACCACCACTGGCCGTAGATTTCGCGGGGCCCCCGGGGGGCCCTCTCTCCATGGGAACCTGGCGATTCTCTAAGAGTTCTGCATTCAGCCTCGCGAGTACCCCCGTTGCAAAAATGAACGAAATCAATGAGAAAATTCTAGGACTGATGCCTAAGCAGTTGCGGCTGCTGCTGTTTGGCGCCGCTGCGGTCCTGCGGCTTGCACTGCTCGTCTTCGGCGAGTGGCAGGATGCGCATTGTAAGCGACCCCTACGCCGAGTTTCGCCCTCCAACGGTGTTCTTTCCCAAAACAGGCTGCTCCTGTGGCCGTATTGTGGCTTCTGCATGCACTCGAGCGCGCTGCGTTGGCGGTGTGTGTGTGAAAGGTGGGGGGTCGTGGGTGTGTGAACATGCCGCAGTCGAAGTGAAGTTCACCGACATCGATTACAAGGTGTATACTGATGCGGCGAATCACGTCCTACAGGGCGGCTCGCCCTATGAACGTCACACCTACAGATACTCTCCTTTGGTGTACGTACACCCCAAACCAGCAGCCCCCGCTAGCGCAGCAAGCACCGGCTCAGCAAGAAGGGGGAATCCCATGCGATCTTCACTCTTTCCCCGTGTGTGGTGCTGTACCTGCTTCAGGGCCTACCTATGCCTCCCGAATTTGCTGGGCTGCCCCTTTTTTGGAAAGTTCCTTTTCTGCTGTATGGACATGGCGATTGCTGTTCTCATCGAGGTGGGCCTTGCTGCCTTCAAGGATGGCTGCTAAGTGCTTTAGAAGAACTTCCGCCGGAGAGTGCATGCAAGGCGTGGAGGCTAAGGCATAGCGTTCGGGGCCTGCATGCGCTTCGCTTCGCTTCATGGAGGGCACTGCTGCTGTATCGTGTGTGCAGCAAGGCCTCTGGAGGCTGCATCAGGAGCGGCAGAAGGAGCAGCAAGAGCAGCAGTTGCAGAGATCTCCCAAGAATCAGGGAGAAGCGTCTTTTGGCGCTGTGGGGGAGGAGGAAAAAGGCACCCTGAGGCTTCGCCATACCGATGAAACCTCGCGAAAGCGGGCTTGTGCCACGACTCGCAGCAGCTATCCAAGCAACATCAGCAACAGCTCCCTCCCCGAGACAGCAGAACCATATCCACTGCATACGTTTCTGCTGCCTTGCTGCTGCTGGCTGTTCCACCCGGTAGTTGCTGCTGTAAGCGCCAGAGGTAATGCCGACGCCTTCCCTTGTCTTCTAGTGCTCCTCACACTCGCGGCTTTGCGTTCTGGGAAGATTTTTCTCGCTGCCATGCTGTGAGTCTGGCTGTCGCGGAGTAATGGTGTGTTTCTGCTGCTGTTACTGCTGTTGCAGTGTTGCTGCTGTTGCACTGTTGCACCGTTGCTGCTGTTACTGCTGTTGCACTGTTGCTGCTGTTGCACTGTTGCTGCTGTTGCACTGTTGCTGCTGTTGCACTGTTGCTGCTGTTGCACTGTTGCTGCTGTTGCACTGTTGCTGCTGTTGCACTGTTACTGGGAGCTCTGCACCTGCGCTCAGGAGCTGTTGTGCCCTTGCACGTGCAGGTATGGTCTCTCTGTCCACGTCAAACTGTATCCTGTCATTTATGGCGTCCCTATGCTCTTGTATCTGCAGCAGGGAAAAGAGCTGGTGCGTCGTATAGTGTGTTTTTGCATCTGTTGGCTCTGGCCGCTGCATGCGCACCAGGCGAGAGACTTAAAAGTTGGTGGTGCGGTAGCGGTGTCGTCGCGCATGCATGCTCTCGAGTTTGCTGCGTTCGCCACGGGTGTTGTTTCAGCCAGAGGGCCTCTTGAAGGTGCCTTCATTTCCCAAAGAGAGGCTACTGCAAGTGGTCTGGGGAGTCTTTAGCGCTCCAGTCGCTGCTGCTATGCTGCCGTTTCGCGTTTGCTGCTTCTTGCTGCGGCGGATGGACCGCTGGCAATGGTCCTTCGGCCTGCTCTCATGCGCAGCCTGCTTGGCTATTGGGAGCGTCTTTTACTTCATGTGAGAGGCAGTCTACTCAGCACACGGGGAGGTGCAAGGAGAATGCTTTAGGAGGGGGGGCAGCTGCTGCGGGCAGCTGATGGGAAGGGGGCCCACTGCGGCGTATATGCGTGTGCACGCTAAAAACTGCACTAGTTCGAAAAACAAAAAAACACAAATAGCGAAAGTGACACTCCCGTCTGTGAAGGCGGCGCGCAACGCAGGCCCCATGTTCCCCCCTGACCTTCTTCGTAGCTCAGAGGTTTTTATAAGGGCCTAGAGAGATAGTTGAAATCCGCGCGAAAAAAGCAGCTGCTGCAGCTTCTCTAGGCTGCAGTCGGCTAGCCTGGGCTGCAAGCCCTTGCGGATACACTTAAAGCGCAGCAGCGTGTCGTTTTGTTGCGCCTTTACGCCTCAAGCGGCCTCCCCGCCTCCCCCCGCTATTTTCGCGGGTGTAGTCCCTCCAGAGCTGGGATTCCTCCAGATAAAACGCATGCACGCCAACGCAGACAGACAAACAGACACACATATATATATACTATATATATATATATATATATATATATATATATATATATATATATATATATATATATATATATATATATATATTATACACCCCTTACTGATGTCTGCGCCTCCCTACCCATGCTGCCGCAGATATGGATTCCCCTTTGTCTACGAGTCCTACCTTTACCATGCCACGCGCAGCGACCACCGTCACAATCTCTCCCTCTATTTTTATCTGCTGTATCTCGATTCTTCGGCTCCCCTCAAGGTGCGGCTCGGGGGGCATCTCTTTAGGCTGCCTGCAGCCGTAAAACGGATCACGGGGGGAAAAAAGCCTCTCAACGGACTGAGCTTGCCAGTTGTGCCCGGCTTGTTTCGCTCTACAACCCTGGAAAGACTTTTCCACGGAAGCAGCCGATTGGCGAGGGCCTGCTTGTGTGCAAGGAGGCTCTGTATGTATGCTTTTATGTGTATGTGCGTCTGTCTGTCTACTTATGTGTATGTGTGTGTGTGTGTAGGGGGAACGGTGGGCGAGGGGCTTTTATGTGTGTGTATGTCTATGTGTATGTATGTGTGTCTATGTGTCTGTGTGTGTATGTGTGTCTATGTCTATGTGTATGTATGTATGTATGTGTATGTGTGTGTCTCTCTCTCTCTCTGTGTATGTGCGTGTGTTTCTGTGTGCCGCTGGTGGGCTTTGCATCTTGGCTCGTGCTGCGCTAGCCGCTCCGTGCATATTTCTGCCTGAGATGTCGAGCCTCTCTGTCTTTGTGCGCATCCTTCCTGTCTTCTGACCCTTCATTCTTCCTGCCTCGTATGCTGCTGCTGCCTGCAGGGACTGTCGGTAGCGCTGCTGCTTCCGCAGCTCGTCGGCACGCTTCTCGTCGGCTGTTTCTTTGCCAAGAAACACCTGGAGGCTGCACTCTGCCTTCAGGTCCTGCTCTGCCCTTGCGGTGTCTTTTACCCCACCTCTACCGTGGCCTTATTTCAGCCCCTTTGTGCAGTTTGAACTCTCATCAATAGTCAGTCTGTAGAAAGACGCAGGGAGACGCGTGGGAGCGTGTGGAGGCGACTTTGCGCTGGGGGGCATGCGCATGGGCTCTGCGCGTGTGTGCAGACGATTGCATTCGTGGCGCTAAACAAAGTCTGCACCTCGCAGGTACAGAGCTCATTAGCCTCTTCGCATTGCAGGGAACTCCAAGAGAGCTTGCTGCCATCTCGAGAAAGGGCTAAGCGGCGTGAAGTAGCGTCGGCCGCTGCTGCACTCACTCTGCGACTGCAGGGCAGTTCAGCTTAAGAAAACGATGACGTACAGCTCCGAGACTGCGTTTTCATGACTAGATTGAAGGCGCAGGCAATGGTCCTTGCAGATCAACGGATTGCATTTCACACACTGACTTTCAAAGCATCTTGGCTTCTGCCGCTGCTACTGCTGCTGCTCTTCCTCCTCCACTTCTTCGTCTCCTCGTGTGGCATCTTGCGCGCAGTATTTTCTCTGGTGGCTTTGTTTGCTGCCATTCGCTGTGGCTTCAACGGACATGTCAAGGGTGCGTGTCTCTCGAGATTGGGGGCATGAAGGGGAGCGCTTCTCCTGTTTTGTCGCTGCAGCTCGGGTGCTACCTGCGGGGACGAAAGCCTTGAAGTGTAGAGTCCACAGGCACACACGCACGGCTGAAGCCTTCGAGGTGGAATGGAAATGTTAGCTTCTTTGCGGATGCGGTTGCAGAAAACGGTTCGTGATGTCGTGGTGGCAATAGTTTTCTTCCAGCTCTCTTGCTTTCTATGGCTTTTCTTCGCCTACAAGCTCGAGTTCGAGGGGCACCCCGTTTTTTTGCAGGTACAAGCAGCATGCAAAAGCGTTCCCTGTGTTATCAGATATGGAGACACCAGCCTGCTGCACCTTCTGTTGCCTGGCTCCTCAACAATTCAGGGAGACAGAGAAGGGCTGGAGGCAGCCTTGCGTGCTGCAGTCATAGACATTAAAAGAATCCGTTCATCCACACTAAAAAAGACGCGTAGTAGGCAGAAAACAACGGGAGTTTCCTGTCTGTCTCTGTGGACTCTACAGCGCCGTTAGACGCACCGGGTGCCCCTATCTGTAAGCCGAGCCCATTGCCTTTTCTGGCTTGCAGTCGCATCTAGCGGTTGTGGATCTCTTGTTTTCGCAGCTCATGCTGGCTTCGGTGGTCTTCTTCGCTAGTCAGATGCACCTCGTGACTCTTGTGTGCTCTAGGATTCGCGCAAACGACAAGGCAGTAAAATACTAGGACCTTAGGGGCTCAAGATTCAGCGTATTCCCCCAGAAAGCGGCAAATCTGCCTCTCTTGTGCTTCATACCGTTCAGCAGGTTACTGCTTATTGGGAAAGTGCGGCCAAAATCCAGGGGACTGGTGCAACAGAGCTATGGTCTTGCTATTAGCAGCGGATCTCTTTGCTACCACTGTAATTGGCAGCCACACGGCAGCAATAGACTCGACATGACGCAGGACCGTTAGGGGTCTTCTTCTGCCAACTGGCGGGGAGCATGCATTGGGCTTGCCCGAAGCAGCGCACACCGCAAAAACAACGGGCCTAAGGCTCAATGAACAGTGCACGCATTGAAAATCAATGTCTTGAGCACATGCAAGCGGGAGGGGGGAAGGCGTCTAGTAGAGAAGAGTAGGTTCCTCCCATTGTCAACTGTACTAGAGCCGACTTAGGCATCCTGCTGCAACAAACTCGGCAGCAAGTCTAACGCCCCATTAAGCCGAATGGAGGCACTTAACTCTGGATTCAATACAAATTGGATCAACACCTGTTGAGTATTTTCCGAGAGTGCTCGCTTCTCCCATTCCCTACTCCCAGAGGGTCTCGCCATGAGAGGAAAAGGAGGGCCGTTAAGCTGCGTGTTGCTACATGCACTGATTGTTCACTCCGAGCTTCGCATTCAAGTGATTTGCAGAAAGAAATGTAGTGTGAGGCTGCATCTACTTGGCAACTGACGACATACCCGCATGACCCAGCCAAATAGTCAATTCTAGTGGTATCTTGACCAAATGTATACAGAGTACGTGAATGCGCCGGAGTGTAGCTTACCCCTATACACTCTGCAATGTAGCTTCTGTGCATGTGAACGCGAAAATATCAAAACAAGCGAAGTAGGAGTATACGCCGATCGAGCGTGTGCTGATCCTCTTGTTCAAAGTAGTGGGAACATTCGAGGTCAGGCATACAGGGGCCTTACTGCATCGTGTGGGATTTGGGGTTCGGGTACAGAATTGCAAAAGCTAGGGGGAAGGAAGCAAATTCTGGCGAAATAAACAGTCATGTAGCTCAATGTAACTCATTATTAAGCAAAACAGCTCATGGAGCAGTGGAAGATGATGGGGAAGCTGGGACTGACGCCACCAGGGAAGGGTGACCGAACAACGAGCTAGGCGGGGGGGAGGGAGGGGGGGCCATACTATAGAAAAAGATGTAGGAAATCCAGCGGATCCACGCACACCGAATAAAAGCTCCTTAATTCGTTCAGAGGATTGCTTAATATTAAATTTGGAGCTGATAATCGGAGTATCTGCTACTTCACAGGCTGCCCTAGAGGCTGGCCTCGCTACAAAACACAGCCTCAAGGAGGCTACGCGAAATCCATCCGCCAGACCAATCGAGCCCAAGAGGCTTCAGCCCCTAGAAATAGCACAAGAAGCTGTATTTAAGTTGGTTGTTTGCTTTCTCAATGTCATAGTGCACTGATCGCCTTTGGACAGACGCGCTGTAGGAAACGCAGACAGGCTGTGTGGTCCTTTATTAACATGCACGGCAGGGTCCGCAGTCCCGTCCTCGGCTAATTCTCATGCAGTGTTCCGTGTCTGTGTTTTCTGCAACATTTAATGCATGAATTTCCGCGGGGTGTAGCGGAGGTTTCCAGTTGAGTACTTTACAGTGTAACAACGAATGCCCGCCGTCGGCTCCAGTCCAGCAGGCCGACTGGACCTCCCGTCACCAGCCCTAATCATTGCTGCAGTACATCGCGAAACTACCGCTTTTCTCGTTTGATAACTGGATTTTAAAACTGTTTAGTGCGCTTATCTGGCTCTACTGGCACAGCCTAGATATGCATCCACACCCCCAGGGGTGTGTGATTCTACGGTGTAAGGCCCCCCCCGCGCTGACGCCCGAATGTGCTCTTTCTTGCTCCCATCTGCCCTGACTTCACTCTCATCATGAAACCCTCGTGAATAGCTCCACAGGCTTTGGCTGCAACGGGCTCCAGAGGCTGGGAGGGAAGATGGATACTCCTTTGTCGTCCTTGGGCGTACCCGCCGGAGGAGCAGCTTCCACGAACTCCCTCACGCCTCAGGCTCTCTCCCGGGCAGAGAGCTCTGAATCAAGCCGTCAAAGCTCCCCAAGGCTGAAAGGCTTGCATTCGGATGCCCAAGAGGCAAGAAAACCGTCGTCGACCCCCCTAGTGATACGAGTGGAGCGCGACAAGGTGGCGTCGTCCACTCCGAGCCAACATGAACTCTCCCAACTGGCACGAGCGGCGGGTACCCGCATGCCTGGAGCATTCTACCAAGAAGGCTTTATTCGTCACCCAGGAGACGACCCCGCCACGCGATTCATCCTCAGCAAGAAGAACCCCACGAGAAAAACATCTTCAGGATCCATGCTTTCTGCACATTCCTCGAGGCTGTCGCTGCGAGCATCCAGCTCCAAGGTCGACAGAAAGTCATCCGGGGGGGAGGTAAAGTTGTACACGTGGTATGGCGGCAGCAACCCCGGTAAGCTTGCAAACTGAGCTGAAGGGGTTCATGGCAGTCCGTCAGTATGTAGAGACAGAGAGACAGAGAAAGCGAGGGGTTGTTCTTTGCTGTGCTTCTCGAGGAGTGGCGGCGACTCTCCCGAGCATAAGAAGCCTTCTTTCTGTGCTGTCTGTCTGTCTGGGAACTGCAGATCGACTCCGCAAAAACTCGCAGAAACAAGACAAGGGCAATCTTGAAGAGTCGACACACATGGTAGACGTGTATGGACTGGAGAGCGAGAAGGCGGGGATGGGAGGCGCCTTCGCCCCCGACTCTCTCCTGCGCACGGGTGCGAAGGTTATGCTCAGTGAAAAAGACTTGCGCACGCGAAAGGCTTTCGACTTCAAGGGAATGCAGACAATGCAAGTCCTCGATCCATCCCTCCTCGGTCGTAGTCTTCTCCAGAGAATTCGACCCCTGCAGATCACCGATTGTGGCTCTCGGACGGCGAATTTGATTCCGCTGCCTTTTCCAGCGCTGAGTCACGCTAGCAGGCAGCAGCTTATTCTCTCTGATTCTCAAATGGAAGGCCCGTAAGTCGCAAGTTTCACGAGAAAAACGCCTCAGTTGTCGTGCTCCGAAAGCGGCGAGAGCGTCTCCTCTGTCGAGAACGCCCCTTGAGAGCGAAGCGGAGGCTTTCCGCCTTTGACACACTGCTCTTCTCGGCAGAAGGCGGACCCTCGAAAGCAATGTTGTACTTTCGTTCTTAGACAGACTAGCTGGTTGCAGCTGAGGCAGTCCCTCGCAGAGCCATGACGACTGCTACTGGGAAGGGGGAGGCTGCGAGAGAAAAAGCCTTGGCCTCCTGAGAAGCGATTCTCTTGAGAATAGAGCACTGCCTCGCATGGGGGAGGAGACTTTCTTCCCCCACCCCTTGTTCTTCCCGTAGAAAACTCATAGAAAGCGGCAGGCTGCATATATGCCGCCTTGCTTGGTTGCCTTGTGCCTCAGAAAGGAAGCCACAGAGGGTGCTATCGACAGCCTCATGTATCTTCCTACTTGCAATGACACCACCATCCTGGATTCGCTGCAGCAGCGTTTCGTTCGCGGTCACTTCTTTACCTCTTGTGACAACATGTTGATCTTCGTCAATCCCTGGGAGGCGCAACGGTGCGCTGCAAACGAGATTTTCAGCCACAGCAAGGCCGTTCAGTACTGGACAAATCACATTGCAGAGCTGCCAAGCCATCCGTACCTCGTTGCAAGGCGCGCTTTCTCCAACGCGAAGAAACAGCATCGAAACCAACTCGTTCTTACCTTCGGTGCCTCCGGATGCGGACAAGACCGTGTGCATCATGAACTCGTGAAGCTCTTCGTTCGATTCGCCTTCACGATGGAAGACGTGTGGGTAAGCTTGTCGGCACTGCTGCCCCCCACCTCTCCAGTGCTTCACTCTGGATGCGTCGCAGGAGGATCTCCCCGACACAGACAGTCACTTGCGCGCGGGAAACATGGCCTCGACTATCGGCGGCTTCAAACTTTTGTTTCTTGCTTTTGTCTCGCAGACCGATGAGGAAGCTCGCACTGCCGAGGCTGCTCGAGATGCAGCTGTCTCCCTCGTGGAGGCTTTGCACATAAGCCACCGAGGCGATCTGTACGGGGGCCGTCTCATGGATCTCTTTCAAGTAGAGTTTGACGCCGATGGAGATGTTGTTGGCTTCAAATTCTTGCCAAACTCGTCATCAGAGCCAAGCCAGTGCGTTTTGCACTGCTAAGCAGCAGCCGCCGTCTTGCGTAGCCTTGCTGCCGTTGCATTGTTCGCGGAGTTTTAAGGCAGACCGTGCAGGTTTGAGGGAATAAAGTAAGGGACCTTCGATCTAGCTGTCTGTCTTTCTGTCTGTCACGCCAACTAATGCAGAGAAATCATCTCGTGGCAGATGCGCCAATCTCTGAAATCAATTCCTCTTCCCAGTCTCTTCTACCACCTCATGTATGCTATCCACTTCAACCCGGACGATCCGATGTTGAAAAACAGCGGTCTGCACCCTGTAGATGTCACGGAGCTGATGCGCTACTTCCCTCCTCCCTCCGTATTGTACGAGGACACACATTACGAGAAATGCAAGCAGCTCATTCGTGACCTAGGGAGCATCGGCTTATCAAAGAAGCAGATTACGGAGTGTTTGCGGCTTGTCAATGCCATCCTGGTTGCAGGTATGCGCGCATCACACATGTTCAGACACACTCTTACATATATACACACAGCCAGACACACACACGCTTACATATATAGACACACACAGACAGACAGACACACATACACAGACACACAGATACATACGCACACACACACACACATAAACATACACAGACACACAGACACATAAATATACAGACACATACAGATACACACATACACACATAAACATACACATAAACATACACACAGACACAAACATGCACACATACAGATACACATATACACACATAAACATACACATAAACATACACACAGACACACATAAATGTACACAGACACATACACCCATGAACATACACATGTAGCTTGTGCACGGGATTCCCCGTCTTTTTACGAGTTTGTTGTCGGGGCGAATTGAGGGAAAGTGGCGTTTTTATACGTATGCCGCATAATATCTGCGTTGGAGGGAGAGGAGCTTTATTGCGGTGCCCTTCGGCTATCTTCTTAAGTGATTTTTAGAGGGGGGAAGCCGGAAGGAAGGGGCTTTTTGATGCGCTGAAAATGCACATACATAGCCTTGCATGCGATTATCCGCGGATTATGACAAGCAGCATCTGGACGCAGCGAGAACTCCCCCACCCCTTCCCCCCCGTTAGCACGGCTTTTTGCGTAGCTCTCTGCGTGTGCTGTCGGCTTCCAGACGTAGCCAGCTACAAGATTCAGAATGAAACCTCGAAAGAAAACGAAGTGCAGGCAAGGGAGCAAGAACGCGCTACCCCCACAGCTCCAAGGGTGTGTCGCATCCTCAAGAAGGAGGAACGGAAGGTTGAGCAGACACTTGTTGTCGGTTCGCGCTCGGCAATGACGCTCGCAGGTCTTGACATTGTCAGCCTGGTCAGTGCTGCAGCGCGCATGCATCGTGCTCCCCATCTCTCTCCCCTTAAACACACTTCTATCTCTCTCTCTCTCTCCTTCCCTTCCCCTATATCTATCTTTCCCCTTCCCCCCAGTTCTCCGCTTAAACACACTTCTTTTTCTCTCTCTCTCTCTCTCCCTCCCTATATCTATCTTTCCCCTTCCCCGCCACTTCCCCCTTAAAAACATTTCGCTCTCTCTTTCTCTTCTCCCTATATCTCTCTTTCCCCTTCCCCGCCAGTTCCCCGCATAAACACACTTCTCTCTCTCCTTCCCTCCCTCTCTCTCTTGCCCTCTCTCCACACTTCTCTCTCTCTCTCTCCTTCCCTCTCTGTCTCTTTCCCCTTCCCCTCTCTCTCTCTCTCTCCCTTCCCCTCTCTCCCCCCTCTTAAACACACTTCTCTCTCTATCCCTCACATTCGGATCGCGCGCAAAAAGTACTCCCGGTGAAGTGGCACTTCAGCACCCCAAAAATTCTTCCTCCCTGCGGACCAAGCGCATGCATGCAGCACTGCATAGCCGGTCCAGCACGCGGGTTGCATGCATGTGCAAGGCCCTTTGAGGCCTTAAGAATTCTTCTTCCCCTTCCTACGGCGCAGTGTGCCTCACGCTACACGACGAAGATCCGTTGGAGTGTCTCCTCCTCTGCTCCTGTCTGTACAGCTGGCAAACCTCTTGGGGGTGGACGAGACTGTCCTTCGAGACATTTTCTTAGGGGCCGACTCATGGCAAATTCGATTTCTTGCTCTAAAGCTCTTTGTGCGTCTTCGCTGGTGGCTCCTTGGGATGATTAGCCAAACCCTTCGGCTCTCCAAGGGAACTTCAGTGCACAGGTAAGAAGCGATGCAGCGGCAGCAGCAGCAGGAAGGCAGCTTTCTTTGAGCACCCGTAGCAGGAGTCGCTCTAGCTCTGCACAGACAGACAGCGGCACTTCGCAGAGGCAAGCAGCTTCCCGAAAAGGGTGCGAACATGCCTCCCATGAGATTTCTCCTCGTCCCCCCCTCCTCAGCTGCAGATCGTCATCGCACCATACACGGGAAGGTTTGTTTGCGGGGAGGTCCCTTGCTTGATTACCCCCTCAGCAGTGGCGACACCAAAGGCAACAAGCCGCACCGTTTTCCAAGTCTTCTGAAGGTTTTTTCCCTTCCAACTTGGCATGTGCTGCAGTCGCATCACATTGCTTAAGGCCGCCGGTATAGACTTCAGACACATTGGTCAAGAATGGGCTCTGAACCAGCTGCTGCACAATTACACAGAAGAATATTTCCTTTATTTGTTTTCCACATCGGCCTTTACGCTGGGTAAGCGGAGGCTTTGTAGGAGGAGAGGAAAGGGAGGGGTTAAAAGACGAGGGGGTCTGGCCGGAGGGGGAAGAAGGCCTTTGAAAAGGTGTTTGCATTGCAACAAAAATATGTCGGTGTTTTTTTCTCAAGATTCAAGTTGTTGCCGCAGTATAAGGCAGCTTTTTTATGTGCATTGCTGCTGCCTTGCCTAAAATCCTGGCAGTAGATCGGTGCAAGCGCATGGCAAAGAGCTTTGCATTTGCCCTTTCGGCTTTGTCAGATCTCTCTGTGCTGTTTTCCTTCTCCTCTTGGCTACACACAGAGCCGAGGCATGTCTGCATGCACTACACTGTGGAACACATGCATAACGCTGTACTGTTCATGCATGGTGCTGTACACCGCATGCATGATGCTGTACTCTGCATGCATGATGCTGTACTCTGCATGCATGATGCTATACTCTGCATGCATGATGCTATACTCTGCATGCATGATGCTGTATTCTTCATGCATGATGCTGTACTCTGCATGCATACTACTGTGCTCTGCATGATGCTGTACTCTGCATGCATGATGCTGTACTCTGCATGCAAGATGCTGTACTCTGCATGCATGATGCTGTACTCTGCATGCATGATGCTGTACTCTGCATGCATACTACTGTACTCTGCATGCATGATGCTGTACACTGCATGCATGGTGTTGTACTTTGCATGCATACTACTGTGCTCTGCATGATGCTATACTCTGCATGCAAGATGCTATACTCTGCATGCATGATGCTGTACACTGCATGCATGGTGTTGTACTTTGCATGCATACTACTGTGCTCTGCATGATGCTGTACTCTGCATGCAAGATGCTATACTCTGCATGCATGATGCTGTACTCTGCATGCATGATGCTGTACTCTGCATGCAAGACGCAGTACTCTGCATGCAAGACGCAGTACTCTGCATGCAAGATGCTGTACTCTGCATGCATGACGCTGTGCTCTGCAGATCAAGCTACCTACCTGCTGGAGGACGTAAAGCCACCACCGACGACCTTCATCTTGAATGATAAAGTTCTGGACGTTTTTGCTGGGCCTGAAGGCATCTGGCAAATTCTGCGGGAAGAGCAGGCATCTTGGGGGGGAGAAGCAGCTAACGAGCTTTCTCAGAATGTTCCCTTAGCTGCCCTCGCCTTCGTGGACAGGATACTGAGGATCAAGAGCGACTCAGACAAGATCAGAGTCCGTCAGTCTTCTGCTGCTGCGCGTCTGTCGCGGGTGCATGCGCATCTATCTGACTGAGAGCACTTTTTAAGGCCCCGACAAAAGAGGCCGAGGCGAGCCTTAGACGCAAATTGTCTCCTGCCTCGAGACTCGCCAGCCTCTACGCATTGTGCTGGTGGTCGCCTAAGCAAGTGCTGTTACTGCTGCTAGTACTGCTGTTGCTGTTACTACTGCTGTTACTGCTACTAGTGCTGTTGCTGTTACTACTGCTGTTACTGCTACTAGTGCTGTTGCTGTTACTAGTGCTGTTGCCGTTACTACTGTTGATACTACTGCTGTTACGGCTGATACTGCTGCTGTTGCTGTAACTAGTGCTGCTGCTGTTACTAGTGCTGTTGCTGTTTCTGTTGCTACTGCTGTTACTAGGGCTGTTGCTGTTACTACTGCTGTTACTGCTGTTGCTGTTGCCCTTACTGCCGTTACTGTTACTACTGCTGTTACTGTAACTACTACTGTTACTGCTGTTGCTGTTACTACTGCTGTAACTGCAGAAAGTTCCTGGATACAGGCCGCCCTCAGCAGACGTCTTTAAGCCAAAGATCGCTTTTAGGGTAGTGAAGGCAGCAGGGAAAAACAACGGTCCAACGGTTCTAGGGAAGAATCCTCAACAGGGGACGAGTGCGCCTCAGCAAACAGACCCAGGTGCGCCGATGGGCAGTCCTTGCCGTTAAAAGAGGCCTTGTGACGCTGTGTGTGAAGAGCGATTCTCTTTTCAGAAACGCAGGAAACGGCTTCAGCAGGCATCCCACCTGCCAGACACAGCTAGCCATGCCGTACAAACCGCTATATCCCGACAGAGGGAGTTGCTCTCTCTTTGAAGCGTGGTATATGTATGTATGTGTATGTGTATATGTGTGTATATGTATGAGTATGTATGGATGTGTGCTGGAACGTCTCAGTTCAGTGCCAGTTCATTGTGGTACATACCCACGGCTCTGTTATGTACGACGCGACAAAATTCTGCATCAGCGATGCCAATGCATACACCGTCCCTTCGCGTGAGTTTGGCAGGGCGTCTGCTGCTGAGGGATTACGAGTGGCACTGCGTAGGGGAGGGCCATGGATTTGTTCGATTACGCTGAACAGGAGCTGATTGAGCAACTTCTTGCGGCTTCTCGGGGAGGTTGCACCCTGCGCAGCTGCGCAAATCAGAGAAAAAGGAATCCAGGCAACACCCCATGAAACTTCTGCGGTCTGTACACCGCGCCTTCTCGCAGGCCTTCGCAACTTGCTGCTGGCGAGCAAGTTGGAACTGGTTCGCTCGCTTGTCTACAGCGAGGCTGCCCAAGACGTGATTCCGCCAGACTGCTCGCGCGTCAGCTTTGCAGATCGGCTTATTCAATACGTCAAGGATAGCCTTTCGGAGGGAACGGCAAGCCTTCACGCACCTGCCGCCGCCCCCCTCCGACTCTTTTCTAACGTTCCCGTATTCATGTATATATATACATATGTGTGCGCGAACTCTCCAAATTTCGCCCTGCCGTGTCTTCGGATGTCGAGATTTCCCGCTTTTTCCTTTCGCAGTCTTCTTTGCAGTCGGCCACGTCCGCACTTTCCTCAGGCAGTGTACGCGTCACCAGCCAGCGTACGGACAGCGCAATTTTCATGACTTTTGCGTTGTGCGGTCGCATCTTCTTAGGAAGCCCCGCAAACGAACTTTATTGCATGTGTCAACTCTTTAAAGCCTATCGCTTTTGGAGTATCCGAAAAGGGGCAAAATTCGAACTTCCACCTGGATCGCTGGAGGCAAACAGCTCAAAGAGACCACGACTTCGAAGAGACAGACCAACAAGGCATGCAAAAGGAGCTAGCGAGGGGCTTAGTTCACGAGCCTCTCGTGCCTTCCCGCATAGTTGCCCTCATGGAGAATGAGACCAAACAAGCGAATCGTGCTTCCAGCGTTCTCAGCGGCTTCGACGTCGCGTACGTATGGAAGCAACTCCATGACTTTCAAGTCCTAGTAAGTTCGCTGTCAACTGCGAATTCCAATGGCGTGGAGCCTCCATCTGCCTGCAAACGCCGCAGCAGCTCCTTGCACTTTAAGCCTTTGACTTTCACACGATAGAAAGCCCTCAAGACGCATGCGTAATGAAAAAAAGGCAAATCGTTTCTGCCCCCTTCGCGCTGCTACCTCTGCTACTGCTACCTCTGCTACTGCTACCTCTGCTTCTGCTTCTACTGCTTCTGCTTCTACTGCTTCTACTTCTACTGCTTCTACTGCTGCTTCTGCTTCTACTGCTGCTTCTGCTTCTACTGCTGCTTCTGCTGCCCGGCAGACGTACTGCGCAACGCGCTACTTAGGAATGACGGTGCGGCTTCTTTACGAGGAGTTTCTCGAGCTTTACTCCATTCTCTGCATACCCACAACCTACGGCCAGCCTACGACGAAGGCGTTCCTCAGCCATCCCGATCCTAAGGCTGCCAGCACTTTTCTCCTCCAGGTATGCTCTCTCTCTCCCTCTCTTTCTTTCTTTCTCTCTCATTCTTTCTCTCTCTTTCTCTCGATGATGCAGTAGTGCTGCGACTACTCCTGCAAGCGCAGTCCGTTCGTGCTGACAATGCATCCTGCCCAAAAAAGGGGTATTGCTGGCTCGCGATCGTTAGCCCTCCGAGATCTCCTCGGTGAGACATGAGCATCCGCCGGTCAGAATGTGCTGCTTTTGTCGTACGCTTAGGCACTGAAGTTTCCAAGCACGGGATATCAGCTGGGCAAGTCGATGATTTTCTTCCGCAAAGCAGCATTCATTGTGCTCGAGAAGAAGTGAGGCGCAGCTTAAACACTAAGGCTTTCGAAGGAAAGCCTCCGCCAGGGCCCATACAAATCTCAATATCCACGCGTTGGTCACTTTGAAATCAGTCAGCATCCGGTTCCCGCCTCCTGTTGCAGCCTCCTTTACGCGCTTCGGGAGATGTGTATTTGTGTGTGTATATGTCTGTGTGTATATGTCTGTGCGTATCTGTGTGGTTCTGCGTGTATGTGTATCTGTGTGTAGGCGTGTGTCTGGTTGCGTATGTCTGTGTGTAGGTATGTATCTGTGTGTGTTTATGTATGTGTATGTCTGTATGTGTATGTATATGTCTGTCTGTGTATGTCTGTTTGTGTATGTTTGTATGCATATGTCTGTATGTATATGTCTGTATGCATATGTCTGTTTGTGTATGTTTATGTCTGTCTGTGTATGTCTGTTTGTGTATGTCTGGATGTACATGTCTGTATGTGTATGTATTTGTGTATATGTGTGTTTGGCGACGGACTCGCAGAAGGGGCTGCCATCAACCAGTGCTCCCTACAAATCTGAGCCTGAGAGATTTTTTCCATTCGGTGTGGCTTGCCCTTGCGTTGTATTTCGCAGGAGAATAGACTACCTGGAGCGTTTGGTTCCGGCTGTTACCCGCATGCAGCGCATGTGGCGTACAGTCCGTGAACGCGCATTTGTTGCAGACATGCGTTGGCTATGCATCCGTGTCCAGAGCCATATACGGCGTATTCGTTTGCTTCAAGAGCTAGCGAAACTTAAATCCACTAAAGATTTCTTCTTTGGAGCAGTCATCCTGGCGGGCTTTGCATATGCCTTCCGCCGACTTGGTCTCAGCGACGAGGTCGTTCGTTCCATCGAAATGAAGTGAGGGCTAACACAGCGTTTTGAATGGCAGGAAGGCAGAGCAGCTTGATCAGAAAGCTCACTCACGTACACGCACACGTAAATACACACACAGAAATACACACACATACACATACACACATACACACGCATACACACGCACATACATACATACACAGAAATACACATATACACATACACATACACGCACACACACATACATACATACATAGAAGGACACACATACACATAGACATACACACATACACACATGCATACACAGAAATACACATACACACATGCATACACAGATATACACATACACACATGCACATATACACACACACATATACACACATATACACACAGAAATACACACACATACACATACACACACACTCACACACATATACATATATACACATACACATACACAGAAACACACACATATGCACATACGCATACACACACACTCACTCACATACACAAACACACATACATACGTACACATATATGCACATATACACATTCACACATACACACACTCACTCACATACATACACACATACATACATACACAGAAATACACATATACACATACACACACACTCACTCACATATACACACGCATATATACACATACACAGAAATACACATATACACATACACACACACTCACTCACATATACACACGCATATATACACATACACTGAAATACACATACACACACACGCGCACAAATGTGTCGGGAGTGCTGTACTGACATCCCCGTCTCGTGTGTTTCGAAGCTGCTTCCGGCGCAGGATGTCTGGATGCAGGAACTCTTGCGAACGCTGGGGGAAGGCATGATGCAGGGGTATGGGGAATGAGGGGAAAGGGTGCAGGCGCAACGTCCCCTTTCTTGTCTGCTGCTGCTGTGCAATGTGCATGCGACACGCAGGTATAGGAATAGGGAAGTTTACTGCCTTCGCTGGAGTGCAGCAGTCTGCCTCCAAGCTTGGTGGCGTTCGATCCTGGCTCAGAAGGAGGCAGCAAAGCTCCGGCACTCTGTATTGTTGGACCACAGCTCGCTTCTTGTGCAGGTAAATGAGCACGAGTTGTCTTTTCTGGTGTCAAGACAGCAGCAACGCCGAGCAGCAGCGCAGCTTCAGTGAGGGCCCTTGCGCAAGTGAACGCTTCGTTACGTGGCTGCTCTATGCCATGAGGATTGCAGAATGTTTGGCGGTGCTTCAAAGCTCAAGCTGTCGTTCTTGAGAAAGTCACCGAAGAGCTCATTCCCAACCGAGCAGCTACAGTCATGCAGCGCCATGTTAGAGGGTATGGCTACTACTGCTCCAGCATGGAGATGCTTGCTGCCTTGAAGCGGATGCATCTGGCATTTGCCACGTCTTGCATGCAGGCGCTAATGCCCAGGCAGCCCGTTGTGGGGGTGTCTTCTTGTGGCTGAAGCACTTATTTTGAATGTCTCTGAGGCCAAATTATGCGGCAACACGCGCGCGTCTCTTCTCCTGTGCTTGACTCCTAATGCGGCATTTTCGAACGGGGGTGAAGAACAAGACCTTCCACGAGCGAGCATCCGGCGTGATGTCTACATGACATATGATTATATATGAACATATGTATGCATACTCTGTTGCGCGTGCAGCTGGAGGGAGAGGCGCAAATTCCAGGAGCTCCGGGGGCTCACAATGGCATTTCTTTCGATTCAGCGAAAGGGGGAAAAGCTGTACAGCATGCGCGTCATGTTGAACTACCGACCAATCATTCGGCGGACCACTGTGATGCGGGATATGATTTTGTAAGAGCATTTCAGGCAGCGTGTGTGTGTTGGTGTTGGTGTTGGTGTGGATTGTTTTGCCTTCCTGACGACGCGCATGATGAAGCATCTGAACGCTAACTGTCTATCTATATGTATATATATATATCAATATATACAGACACGCCGCTGTCAGCACAAATATATGGGGAAGGAATTCCTGAGTTTCCGAGACTTGCAGTTCTGTCCACACGGCGATGCGGCCGATCCTGTACTACCCAAGCTTCCCCCATCCCCCATTCCCCCCCTTGAGGCAGCCATCATACATTTTCCCTATCGTGCAGAGCTTTGTGTTGCAGATTTCAGATGGATCCTTCAGTTGTGCGCATCCAGAGCTTCTTTAGAATGGCTGTCATCAGACAGCAGTACCTTCGCTTGCGGAATGCAGCGCTGCTATGTCAAGCGGGGATCTTAACAAGGCTACGTCGCGTAAGTTGCTCTTTGCAGCGCATCTTATGACGGCCGTTGCTTTAATACGCTATGCCTCCAGTGATGCTTGCGGCAAGTCTTCATGCTGCCGTTACAGGGGGGAAACAAAGATATTTGAGGTTCGCCAGCGTGCCCCTTACAGTGCGCGCCTCTCTGTTAAGGGCCTTTTGATTAGCTGCAGCTGCATGCTTCTCTGTGGGCATAATTTGCTTTTTTCGAATGCTGAATGTAGGAATGTGCGTGTGATATATACATATACATATATATACATATATATATGTGTATATACTGTTTTGCATCGCGTGCAGGGCGACTTTCTCTTGACAAAAAGAAGAGTCGTGAAGCTGCAGCGCTGGTGGCGGTCGATGCGACTGCTGCGTGGCATGGATATCGAAGTGGGGTTGCCTCCTCCCGTGCGACTGCCTGGAGTGAGTGGAGGACAAAGGCATGAAGGCCTAGCAATAAATTTTCCTTCCCATATTCCTTCCCACCAATACCACCTACACCACAATGGTGGTGCAGATATTTGAGCACACGTGTCGGGCGCCTCCCTCCCCTGCCAAAATTTTCAGGCGTAGCTTGTGTTTACCGGCAGAACACAGCAAACATCATTTGCTTGGCAGCAGCTCAGGCAGGGGACGTTTGCTGCCGTTGCTTAACGCAGGGAATGCTTTGCGCTTGAGCTCCCGTCCTCTGCTTTGGACGCCTCTTGTGAACCGCGATTGCTGCAGAAAGCTGACTCCGTGGTTAGAAGACGCGAACTCGTTGCTTTCGAACTTCTACGCCCTCATTTCCTGATGGTTCAGGGCATGCTCAGATTCGAGAGAACGCGGCAGGATGCGCATTGCGCTTACCCTTTTCGGTTGCATGCGAATTCAGACTGCCGGGGAATATATCCGCGTACGTGGGCCTTGCCTCTGCAGGATCTGTTGACTCAGCTGGCTGCAAAGGCACGCCACCAGCAGCACAGTTACATCTCCGAGGCTATGCAGGTAGCAGCCGTGACGGTAAGGCTCAGCTCTTTGGAGGTTGGAGCCCATGCGTGTAGGGCCCCATGCAGTGACTTGGTGGTGGGAGCGAGCTCTGCTGTCTGAACACCTCTCCGCCGCATGCGGTCCATGATGCTTAGGCCCCCTGAGAAATTGCATAATACCATTTATATATATGTATATGGCGTGTTCAATTCTGCGGATCGGGAGAACATGTCACGATGGTTGTTTTTTTGTATATGCACGTCTCCTTTTTTTGTATGTGCACGTCTCCTTTTTTTGTGTATGTGCACGTCTCCTTTTTTTGTATATGCACGTCTCCTTTTTTTGTATATGCACGTCTCCTTTTTTTGTATATGCACGTCTCCTTTTTTGTATATGCACGTCTCCTTTTTGTGTATGTGCACGTCTCCTTTTTGTGTATGTGCACGTCTCCTTTTTGTGTATGTGCACGTCTCCTTTTTTTGTATGTGCACGTCTCCTTTTTTTGTATGTGCACGTCTCCGTTTTGTGTATGCGCACGTCTCCTTTTTTTGCATGTGCACGTCTCCGTTTTGTGTATGCGCACGTCTCCTTTTTTTGTGTATGCACGTCTCCATTTTTTGTATATGCACGTCTCCTTTTTGTGTATGCGCATTGCTTGGTTTGCAGTTTCAAGACATAGCGATCGGGGGGCATCACAGCCTCGTCTTGTTAGGGGTTCGGCAGGCTGCGTCTGGGAACTTTGCTACGCGCGTTCGCATGGTGGTTAAGGGTGGCGGTTGGCAAGACTTTAGTCTAGAGCCTAGAGTGTATGCGTGGGGTTGGAGTGATAAGGGGCAACTTGGTGCTCCGCAGCGTCCGGGGGAGCAGGGCATGTCTTGCATCGGACCACTGAAGTTTATTGATCGGGTATTTAAGGACAGTGTGGATCCTGCAACGGGTATGTTTCGCAGCCAGCGGGGGTGCTGGAGCTTCGGTGGCTGTGTGCACGCGCCCAGTGCACACGCATTCGCGGCAGAGCTTCCGGAGGGTTGTGCAGGGTCTGCTGCGGCGTGTTTTCGTGTGTGTTGAGTGTGCTCGCTTCTCAGGGCACTTGGTGCAGAATTTGATCCACGAAGTCGACTATACCCACACAGTATGTACAGTTGCAGCTGGCTTGGATCACTCCGTGGCGCTGACAAGCGAGGGCATGGTCTTCGCGTGGGGAGACAACTCCGAAGGGCAGTGCGGCTTAGGCCACAGACTCTTGGCAGTCAGACATCCGACGCTTATCCCCACCATCCGCAACAACGGCATCAAGCTGAAGAGGTAGTATTGCCGACGCCGCTGCGCCTGCTAGCCCCTTGCTTGCGGAGAAAGATTGGCTGTACAGAGGGGGGGCGGAAGCTGCGCTCAGCACGCACAGGCGTTGTTTTGCGGCTGTTGAGGCCTACGAGAACGCGGCGGGGAGACTACTGCCCCTATCTTCTGCGCATAGTGGCTTTTTTTGTTGCAATGTGCACGATGCAGCATTGCTGCAGGTCCAAGGCAGACGGGTGCCGTGTCTATGGATGGCAAGGCCCTTATGTGGGGAGCAGCTCACTTTGTTCGCCTGCCAACGGTGGTGCCCGACTCGCATTCATACACTCCACGAGGGGTCCCCCTCGATGCGAAATACGAGGCCCTCCAGGTATGCGTGGCGGCTCTATGAGACTGCGCCGTGATTCCCGGAGAGGGAGAGAGGAGGGGTGAGCAGCGCCATCGACGACAAGGCACTGCCGCTGCGTTGAAGGTGCTTGCTATGTCTGCAGATCTGCTGCTCTTCGGGATTCAACATCTTGCGAACGGCTGGCACCAGTGGAGTTCTTGGATGGGGGCGCAACGAGAGCGGACAGCTTGGGCAGGGGCCTGAAGACAAGAAGTCTCGAGATTTGCCGATTTTCATTCCGCTTCCTGCTACCCCAGCCCACTCGCATGTGGTTTCGAAGGTTGTTGTGGGGACCAGCTTCGTAGTCGTGTCTCTGCAGCAGGCTTCCTCTTTTCTGTATACATGGGGAGCTCTCTACGTCGAAGAGGCGTCGGAAGCCGCAGCAAGCGGCGCTGGAGGCGTCGCAGGCGCTAAGAGGTCTCCTGGAGCGCAGGGTCAGAAAGCGACTCTGAATCCGTTTCTGAGGCGTACGGGAGCAACAGCCGCGCAGCAGCAGCCTCAGCAAGCCAAGTCAAAGGCAGGCTCCTCCAAGGCAGCCGAAGTAAAAGCCGTTTGCAAGCCTACGCGCGTGGAGCATCCTTTGTGGAAGGACGACGCGGTTATCGACATCAGTGCAACTGGATCGGAGGTACTGGTGAGGCAGAGCCAAAACACCCTGACCGCCAGTGCCTCAGCGCTTTTCTCCGGCTTTTTCCGAGCCAGCGGCCAAAGGGAAGAAGGCTAAAACCGTATTCCATGAATTGTGTCGAGGTCCATTCAGGTACTTTTCGAGTCTCGCGTAGTTCATGGATATTCGTGGCTGGAAGTCCTCTACACGCAACGCGCTTCGGCTCCTGCAGCTGCGACAGAAGAACGCGCACCCGCCGTTCAATCCTTCTTCTTCAAGAAAGCCATGCCCCAACCCAAGGCTCAGGAAGCCCCCAAAGAAGATCTACCTTCATGCGTAGTGGAGCGCCTTCGAGGGGAATTCACCTTGAAGCCTTGCATCTACAGCTTGCGCCATCTAAAGTAGGTGGACTCGCGAAGCATCGTGCGACGGTGCTCGCCAAAGCTCTTTGAAGGGACTGTAAGCAGGCTTCTGCATCTCGTTCCCATGACCACTGCCGTGCTATCAACTGCCTTTTCTGTGCAGACCACTACGAATGTGTATTCGGTCAGTCCACGGCACCGGAAACGCCGTTTCGCTGTCTTTCAGCTGGGCGAAGGCGGTTCGACCTACAAAGCAGTCGCTTGAAAGCATGTGTGAGGCAAAGGAGCCCACGTTCTTGAAGTACACCACTGCCTCAGGCAAGTTCAGCGCCCTTCACGCCAATCTTTGAGGGGCCTGTAGGCCTTCTGCGTAATGCTCCAGAAGGAGAAATCCCTCTCTGCTCTTATGCTCCTGGGTAGTGTGCAGGATGCTCCCTGGCCTCAGGAAGCCTTCAGCCTGCCGCGCGTTCGCGATTTTGTTCCCAAGCCATCCAAATTCAAACCCGTCGAGCAATGTCTGTTCGCTTCACTGTATTTTTCGCGGTCGCTGTGTATGCGTTTCAGGGGCCTCAATAGAAGTACCCCCCAAAATCAAAGAGAAGGCCCAGAAGAAACACAAAGAACTTATGGACGATTCCGCTCGTCTTCTCTCCAGCCCCCTGCTCTCACGAGAGGTATTCCCCGTCGGCGCTCGTATTTCGGGCAGTCCACCTTCACACATGCCAGATTGTTTTTGCGCTTCTAGCCTTAGGTCGCACATTTTGTGTAGAACGTACGTGATTGAATGGCTTTTAGTTGCTTCAGAATAGCTATGACCTTACCTGGGACTCGCACACTGAGGGTTTTCGTGGACACTTTTTGAATAATGCTGATGCTGTCGAGGTTGACTGTGTGCTGTTGCGCATCCTTTTCAGAACCAGTCCCGTCAAAGTGCAAAACCAGCAGCGGAGACTTTAGTGCCTGATGCGCGGTTGTTACATCGCATGCGTTCTATTTATGGTACCGGTAGTGCTAAGGGCCGCCTTGGCGCCTTTGGCTATGACTATGAGAACGATGAAAGCTAAAAGTAGCTAAGAAGGAGGTATGCAGTTCAGCATGCCTGGAAACATATATAGCTTAATATTTTTTCGTTTTAAAGAGTCTCCTATACTAGGCAGATTCGCCGTCTATGCTTTTGCTTTGTAGCCCCCTACTCTTACGATTTTATAATTGATTGCGACTAAAAGGCACAATGCATGCTTGGCTGCGCAAAACCTCGTCTTGGTAGAATATTGGAGCGGCTGCCACATTCTAGTACCTCAACTGTTTGCACAGCACGAAGGAATACTGCTTGCCAGATGGGTCTTGTATGCATTACGCTGGATAAATTTACTTCCGCAATCCATCCACAGACCGAATCATCGAACTGGCCAACGCACAATCATCCAGAGGGAAAGCAAAGTCATCAAATACAATGTGGTTTGTAGAGTGCCTCTAAGCTGGTCATCATACTTCAACCCGGCCTTCCCCCTAGACTGGAATATAGGGATTGGTAGGCTGGCCACACACGCACTAGCTTCAACTGATCAAATTGAAACTCTTGCAAAACATGCAAAATGCTCTCAGGGATTCCTTGTTTGGAGACCAGTGACTTCGTGGAGTGAATACCCTAGACTTCACTTTGCAAATGATGCAGCAGCCGTATCCATGCACTTTCAATTAGCAGACGATTTTGATTCACAACAGGGTTCCATGAATACAAATTTCGCCTCCTCTTGAGGCTTCATAGAGTGTAGGACTCCACCTATCGTCTCTATCAGAAGATGCTTGGGTCTAAATCATCCCAATATTTGATAAAATGATATTTTATTTTCGAAGGGCTCCCGGTCTCATTTTTCATCACTTTATGCGGGCCTCTTATGAGGAGAAGGCAGAAAGCTGGAGGTCGCGTTGCTATCCCCTTCGAGTATTCGAACGTTCGCACCCAGGCTTCCTCAAACCATGGAGATTGCCTTACCGTGTAGCATAGAATAATCCAATCGCTAACGCAACCAGCTAATTCTTGGGCAATCAAAACTTGACGTAACTAACACAAGGGAACGTGTTAGGTGTCGGTTGGCCACACTGTGTGAAGTCCAGGGCAGCCATTATAGCAGGTTGAAAGTATAAGTCTGGGTTGTCCTGCCATAATGCAAGTGGTTTGGCAACACTCTCCTCTGCCCACCACAAAAATACTACTCAAGGTGCAAGATCATATACAGAATGCACGCGTCTAATACTGCATGTATGTTGAACTGGAAGCGCCACAATTTTTGAAGCCACACCTGTTTTCATCCCTCGGGATTACCAGATGCGGCGCGTAAAGGAATAAGGCTTGGCGCTTGCAGAATAGCCAGCCTCGAGCGGGTGTGCATAAATACGAGCGCATGTAATCTTCCCTCTCCATTGTGTACGGCATCGAGGGCGTGCATTGTTGTGCGAGTCGAGTGCAGTACGGAATCACAGGTTTCTTGGCAAGAGCGTGTCTTACACTCTCTAGATAACAGTAATACCAAGACAGAGAATATGTAGATAATCAATTACCCTCTCGCATAATTTGCCTTGTTGCCAGCGATGTTGAAAGCTGTGTGTTTCGATGTGCCTTTGTTTGCAACGTGGCGCGCCTACAGTTGATACGTAAATCGTGGAGAGCTGCTGCCCTCTTCGGCTGGGATTTCCCACATGGTTTAGTATTAAAAATCAAAGTTTTAGCGCTAGTTTCCTCAACATGCAGGGAGCTACGCAGACCAATGGGAATCGTCTTTGAGTCTCAGCCAGCCAGGGGTTGCTGCCCACCGGACACACGGCAGGACTGCCAGGGTTTCAGTAAATGCAGAGTCTTCTTCAATATAATCTTACGGCATCTTGGCTTAATTTTTGTTTTAAACGAACAGGGAAGGTCTTTCGTGGGGCAAGCTTGCTGTATCTGCACTGCTCTCATTTGAGTGGACCCCTGGTCGATTTGACGCTCATGCATGCCGCCTGCTCCCATGGTACCATAAACTCTGCCATTTACACCTCAAAAAAGCGTGCTACAGTTGGGGTATGCACTGATGGAGATGCTGGTCGTTCTTCTCTCTTTTGAAGTCATGAATAGGTCAGGCTCTAATGCGTTTGAAAAGCTTGAGGGGTAACTCTCCCGAGAGGGTAGGCTGGTTTCCTGTTGCACCGTATGCCATGTGGAGCTTTAGCATGAGCAAGGATGGGGTTTCGAAGCCCATATGAAGGCGCGGGGGAACCGCGCTTGTTTGAGGTGTACGGCAGCAGTACACGACTGGCGTTCAGTCGTTATTTTGTCGTGTCGCATGTAGACGGCTTCCTCTACGTGTTGGACAAGTATTTCTGCATATATCGCCTTGTTCCGGCACGAGCTGATTGCCATGGAGTAGCGTCTTCTCTGCGGAACCATTCTGCACCTGTCGACTCCCCTGGACGAGGTGGTGGGTGGGAAGCAAATCAAGCTCGGGGACCAGGGGATGGCAGGTCCTTTATTTCAGAACACAGGCATGCGGTGGAGTCGGGGCATGTCTTTTCGGCGGAAGATGACCAAGCAGATGGGGGCAAGCTCCTGGTCCAGGTGCAGATTGCTGATGTATTCTCGGCGTTGTTTGTTACCGACAAACCGATCTTCTCCCAGCTGCTGACGGGAAGCAACCAGGTTAGTCCCCCTCACCCAAAGCAAAATGCTGTCAACGCTGTTGGCGTTCTCAGATTGGCTGCCCATCAGGGTTTGCAAATAGTAGCGGCTCGCGGGGCCTGAAGCATGTACTTCTTGATCTACTTGCTCGCACAGAATGCCTTTTACCCCGGAGCATTTGGAATCGCATCACTCGGTCAACGCTTTTGCTGTGGGTGTTTTGCGTCATCAGTACGACCAGCGGCAGCTGCAGGGGCTGCGCCAGAAAAGTTTACTGCTGAGCAACCGGCAAGATGGTTGCTTGTACCTCTTCCTCAAAAAGTTCCTGATCCGCGTCTCGCTGAATGGATCTGTCACCGTTGTAGGCAATCTACTTCAGCTAGCCTTGTCTGCCGCAGCCAGAGTCCGTGCAAATGGAGTTTCCGGTGCGGTTCCCAATGGGACGTGCACAGGGTCGCATCAGCCCCAAAATGAGGTGGATGCTGAAGCCTTCCCGAGCAACAAATCCCTTTCTCCTACCTCTCAACTGTCGAGCCTTCACCAGCTGTGCAGGGAGTTGGGGTATAGAGACGCTTTTCTGAGTGATCTTGAACAAAACGCACCACATTCCGACTGCGGGACGGGAGTCCAAGAAGATATTTTAGGAGCGTCACTGCCGGCGGAGTCTGTTGCGTCAGCTTCATCTAGAGGCCTTACCTGGCAAGGCATGAGGCCACTGCAACCGAGAGTGCAGTCTGTGGGCCGAACTAGGTCTAGTGCAATCAGTTTGCTCGTATCGGAGCGCCTGGAGGATTTTCTCACTTGCCGAGGGGAAAACTGGGAAGTCAACAATTGTTGCATTGACGGTGAAGGCCATTGCTTCTTCACCATTACCCGTGAGAAGTTCTCGTCTCCTTTCGAAGAAAGAGGTAAGCCGTAACGGTTTTTCTGCCACTGTCATGACTCAGAAGGCTGCCGCGTGGTTTTAGGGGCCTGTCATTTGTGGTGTATCGACTGGCAGACAAGGCCTGAACGCGCGCGCCACGAACTTTGAAATCCCTGTCACCGGTGCTTTTGCATTCATGTTTTTAGGGATGATTTTCTGTTTGGATACCAAAGGCACCGTAGTCCGCGCGAGGGTACTGCGTTTTGGCCGAGGTGTCTCTGACGACGTAGTTATGGGCCTCTCTCTAACAGCACACCCTAGCTGTGGATGCATTCTCATGATTGCGAAGAGTGCTGCCTCAGTGCGTGAAAGCACACTTAGTCCTGCTGTCGCTCCTCTTGTTTCATCGGCTGTAGCATCGAACATACCTTGCCACAGTGCCACTGAAGCGGGCAACGCGGGAGAACCCCCACCTGCAGACAGTGCAGGCCTGGATGGCAGAGGTGACTCTGCCGATATGGAGGAAGGAGGGGTAATAGCCGAAGAGGAGGTGGGCATGGCAGGCATACAGCTGACTGATGACTCCCTGGCAGCTGCAAATCCCGCTCTGCGCGGGCAGGGAACGCCAGACTTACGTCGTCGCCACAATGAAAGTTTGCAGTCCCCGATGCGCGATCAAAATCCTAGTGGCGTGGCCCATTCCGATACAAATGGTGACATTGATGGCGGTGAGCATAAGGGTGTCAGAAATCACCTATGCTCGCTTTCGTTTAGAGAGTTAGTGCATCCCGGTGCTCTTTCACTAGCATGCATTGATAGTGCGCTCATGTAAGCGCGTGCTGTTCGAGTTACTGGTAGCCTGCTTTGTGGTTCGACTCTGCTTGTCCTGCGGGCAGGCCATCGTGCAAGCGGGTATTTCATACAGGAGAGGTCTACTAGGGAGGTTACTGCTAGAAGCGGTGCGATTTCATCAAGCGACTTCCCCGTGTCCGTGGGGGGAGCCGCTGCTACACAATCCAGCAGCACGCAACACACGTCTGGAGAAGCGGAAGCATCGAAAGGGTTAGGAGAACACACGACGTGGTGGTTCTGCCCTTGCGACGAGGATCCGACGTTTTATTTCCCCGTTGCGGAGTGCATTCATGGTAAAGCGGCATGGTTCCTGCCGCGAACGCGCGTCTCCAGAACTATTGACACCGAGAATTCAGTAGCTGCTAGGGCCACTGATGAACAGCCTGCTTGCGCTTCTTGCAAGTGGGCATGCACACGAGCTGTTGAGTGGACTCTGTGTCGCTGCGGTGCAGACGAAGCAATCCACGAGGCAGCACAGTCCATTTGCCGTCAGTACCGTGGGAGTCCGAGCAGCAGCGTTTGTAAGGCCCATTTTGAAGATACAACCGGAGCTGCGGTCCGGGAAGCAAAAGCAGCCGCGAGAGCAGCCTACACCGCAGAACGCATGATACTGCACAGCGTGGGCGCGTTAGCACGAAACGAAGACGAGTCTGGACTCGTCGTGAATGCGACACGACTCGCCTGCAACGCATCGAAGGGGCACACACACACGGATGCCGACTTGCATTCCGTGGCCCTTAAGACGCTCGGGGATGCAGTTCTGGCCGCAGCCCGTGCCGAGTCTGTAGCCTGTAGTGGATTTATTTTGTGGCAACCGGGCGTGAAAGTGCGCCGGCCAAAAACAGGAGAAGAAGCTATCAACTTTGGCTCTGCAATACTTATCCGTTCACGCACCACAATCGGTCAAAAAGTAGCCTGCAAAGATCTCAGAGGCCGTGAGCTGTCGGCCTGTGTGCCCCATCGAGCGTTGGAGTCGATCTCAGGCGGTACGTGCACTCCTCCGACCGCCGTGATCGTTTAGAAGGGCAGGTGCTCTGGACAGAAAGAACCCGTAGCATCTGGCTCGGAAATTTGATGTCTGTTCAGATTGCTCACTTCCGATGGGAGCAGTCCATGTAACGTCGGTTTCTGCTTTTGCTTGAGTGCATTGCAGAGCCTATAGCAGTTATTAGCCAGGACGCTCGCCATCTGGAAGTTCGCGACGCCATTATGTCGCCGTTGGGGCTGGTTGTCGTCCCTGCAGAGGCTGCCAACCGGATAGTCAAGCAAAGCTCTAACAGTTCTTCTGGCCGGTTGACAAGCCGCAACACGGTTTCGCTCACCTCGTTCTTGGCATCCTTTGTCGTTGGTAACCCTACTGGCTTTACTGAGCGGGGTGCTCCCGACAGAGAAGAAAATGAGGGTGGTAGTTCCGCAGCTTCCGCCGGGCAAGGTAGTCGCAGAGAGGAAAGCAGGCAGTCCGCTGCCGATATGCTCGTTTCCGATGTCTCTACAGCTGCTACACCCGGCATAGGGGCGTCTGTAAATGCAGCAACGGCAGAAACCAACTCCCATAGAGCCATACCGGCAGTAAACATTGTCTTCCTCATGGACACGCTGCGTGTGTGTAGATTTGCGGAAACACGACCAGCTACCAGTGCAAGTCCCTTGCGGAGTCACCAGCGCGATGGTAGAACGGGGGCTCTCCAGGCAGGACGCGACTTGCACTTGTTGGGATTTGCAGGGATAGCCACGACTGGAGACACCACAGGTTTCCCACTCGGAAATCCTGACAACGGCTGTACACAAGGGACAGGCATTGCCCATGAAACTGCTAGCGTCGGAGGCGGTCATGGCACTGAGAAGTGCTCCCAGTCTTTGTTTAAATCTGAAGAAGACATGGAGTGTTCATGTAAAACAGCTACTGCGTGCTTAAGTGCCTCCCACACTCCAGTGTTGCACTCTCAATTTGCTGATGTGGTGCTGCTGTGCGCCAATGGAGTTGAGCTACTTTCTCACCGAGCACTGCTGGCGGCACGCTGCTCATTTTTCGAGGCCAAGCTAACACGGCCTCACTGGGAGGGACGCGGGGTTGAAAAGGTAAGCGCGGGAAACTCGACTACACTGGGTATGCAGAGCTGTTGAACGAGCAGTTCAGTAGAGAAAGTTCTGGATTTTTCCAGGGTGTGCGATTCTCACTATGGTCGAACCAAGTGGGAATCGCAGCAGGGTTCTCTGATTTCACTCCAAGGCAAACAATTGTGCAAAAAACGTAAATATGAACTGGAGCGAGTCTGATGTGCTTGCGTGTGCGACAGGTTGTGATTGACCTACGCGACTTTCCCGGTTCAGTCGTTCAGGCGACTGTAAATTACTTCGAGGTGGGATACTTTGTCATCCCTGCCTCGTGTTGCTGCCATGTGTGTTGTGTAGAAGAACAGCGAAGAAGTGGCGGTGAACAGTTCCACTTCCCCATTCAAAGAGGGCTCCCTCCGTACGAGTCTCACTGCTGTTGCCAAGTGGATTGGGTTCTGCAAGCATACACCTTTGCAGCGTATTGCCTCCTTCAAGACCTACAGGCTGATCTAATCTGTGTCCTGGCCCGTCTGATTTCCCAGCGAACATGCCTATATGTGTAAGGAAACGAGGGCACACTGCACGTAGGACTTCTGAAGGAAGTGACACTCGAGCGCTCGAGTCAGTAGCTGCATGCCTCTTTCGTGCTGACCCCCACACAGACCGTGTTTAGCCTCACACACTGGCTAACACGGCTATTTTTTGCACTGTGCTATTATATGTAGGCTAACGCACCCAGCAGTGCGAAACAAACAGCAGATTCTGCAGCTGGCTGCCCACCAATTAGTCCACCATATGCCAATGCCAAGCCTCCTTCTCGAGGGAGGTACCTGGCCAACAGTGGACTCGCAGAATCATTCAGTTGGTAGCGACTCGTCACAACCAGAAGATCAGGCCCACTCAATGAAAGATGCTGAACTTCGAGAGCCGGAACGGAAGCCGCTTTTGCCGATGCTGCTCAATGAGGGTCTCTATGAAGCAACGACCACTGCACTTTGTGCCTGGGTTCTTGTGAGTGATTCATAATGCTTACTCACCATTTGACAAGGCTAACGAGTTCGCTGAGCTGTAAAGGTTTAGAGACTTGGGTGTAACTCATGTTGACATGACTGCTCCTTCCGAAAATAATTACTAGGCATTGCTTCTGAGCTATGCATGTAAATTTTATTCTTGCTTCACGATGTGCAGGGGTCAGGGAAAAACGCGTTGCTGCTGTCGAAGCTACAGCTCATTCGCTGTGGAGACACATCGTCTACTCCGCGTAAACGTCTTCTGCTGGTATTGCTCGCCCTTAGACTTGCGCAGGAGAGCATATTAGCACCTTTTCCCTATTCTCCGTCAAGATTGTTCGGGGATTCATCACATTCACCTCGCGGGGCATCAAGGAGCCTGTCAAGTTGGGAGTGCAGCCATTCGGGGACAAATCAGAGCGTATTGCTACCGCCGATGTCAGAAAATACATGTCTCGTTGTCCCCTTGCGTGAATCACGAGAAAAAACGCGGTGCTTCTTGTTCAGAGATATCGTGTTCCTGTGGGCAAAATTATTGCAAGTCCCTGAAGCGGACGCGAAAGCTGTGGCTCAGGCAGTGGATGATTCATGCCTTCCATAAGCTTTGCAATATCCTGAAATTTAGATACGGGCAAAGTCCCTAAATAGCGCTGAAGGATTGGGTCGACAATTCAAAGTCTGACGAACTACTTTGGTAACTGCCTTCTTCAGCTTCTGGCATGCAGTGAAAGGCACGATTCCAAGCCTGAGCGGGTACTGTCCGCATTTGTTTGCTGTTGGGCAGGCTAGGGGCGACCGCATGTGCACTCAGCTGTAAACCATGGGGACTTAACCGGTATGCTATCACGATAGCTAGCTTGGGGGCAGGCAAGGCTACGACCTTGCGTATACGTTGAATGAGTTCTGGCTTTGAATTGAATACGGCACGCTTGGTTTGAGCCGGTTTCTTTTTTTCGCAAGCAGTGCGGCACGTTCCCACTGCTAACTAATTCACAAAAGCACGTGTGCAGTGCTGGAATGTGCAGCGGCATTCGGCTAGCACAAACGATAGAATTCAAGCATTTCATATCGCTCAAGAACACTGATTAGATCCTGAACGTGCGTAATTTCTGATCAAGCCAAAGTCTAGTAATGGGTGGCGTGTCTGTTTGTGATGTAAGGTCATACGACAAATCTATATCAGGACTCAAGAAACTCCGATGTCTGCTAATTTGCATGCCCTTGCTGCTACTTTATAGCTTCGTGAGCTTTTAAAAGTACAGAAATACAACTGGAAAAAAGTTGTTCGACGTGTGCACCGCAAAAGTATGCACTCTTCATTTCGTGACTGCCGGAGGTGCTCTACTTGCTTTCTGAATACTCACATGTGGTGCACATGAAAGCTGGGAGACACAGGTCCTGGTGGTAATAACAGTCTTTTGGCAAGGCATATCTCAATATGGCGAAATTGGACAAATCATTGAGAGGGTGTTCCTTTTTGCGGCAGCAACTACACAAAAATCGGTAGCAGAAGCGCCGCCTACGACTGCATTTAACGAGGGATAAGGTGGCCGTGAAGGCAGGAATAGGATCCACAATGGAATGAACCGAGCATACCCAAGTTGCAATGCTCTTACCATTTCCCTAGATCTCCTCAAGTAGCTCATCAATACGCGAGGCTAGGGTTCTGCGGACAATGGCTCGTGCTTTTTGCAAAATGTGCTGCAAACAAGAATGGGAAGCGAATCGCTCAAGCCTCTGCAGAGTTAGGTGTGCAAGTACGAAAAGCCAGTGCAGCCGTATCCACAAGCTAGATGTCGTAGCACGTACTGCAGGAATCTGAGAGAGACTGGGGAAGTGTATCTTTGATGGGACTTACAAAAACTAAGTTGCAACGCACGGCATCAGCAAACTGTAGGCGGATTTCCCACAAAGCTGGACGTTCCATTTCTACACATTTTTTCAAAGGAGGGGCGGTCAAACTGACTCTGCACAGTGTACACAATGAAGGCACCTAGCCCAAATTACTGCCACCTACATAATATTTGAGACCAGCTCAGACATTCGAAAGCCTTCTGGAAAGCCTACGCATGACGTGTAACGAAGTGGGCGTAAGTTATATTCCTTACCGCATCGTGGGAGGATTTTCAGATAGACCGCTGGATGGGGAACGTGATAGCCCATCAGAGGGGGGTGCAACGTCCAATACGAGAAGCTGCATGCAACGTGAGCTGTTCTTCCTCAAGCGACACTCAACATTTCGCAATGGGTGCGATGTCCTGTGCATCGCATCGAAGAGAAATACATCCATTCAGCAGTCGCGCAAGCTGCTGGATTATCCTGTACAATGCGGGGTCCCAGGCAGAGAATTACAGGCTGCAGTGTCTGAAGCATTGAGTGGCACCTGATATCAGCGAAACCTGGGAGTGTGGACGATGGAGACACAAGAAGAAGACGCTTGTCGTCTTGCACGCAGTAGCGGGTAGCCTGTGCCGGGGAGAGTCAGAGTTCTCGCAAAACGAAAGCAGTGTAAGACTGATTTTTCACATGCAAAATCAGAGATGCCTGATTTTCACTTAATTCCGATACGGAAAGGATGAACAGATAGAACAATAGAATTCAGCTGAAGATTAGGGTCAACACATGCCGCGCTTCGCTGATAAAGCCGTACCGGCCCAGAGGCGGTCTCGACAGAGCATCGAATAATATTTCGGCCTTCCAGTGAGATACCTGAATATGCGCAATTCTATATCAAAGGAGCACCCACCTCGATGCAGCTGGAATATGGGATAGCTACGTATGCCCAGTCGACGATAATACTAGGGCATTTGAGTTTGCTAGGATACGCGACAGCATGCTGCCGCACGGGCCCCAAACTGACTTGTTCTTGATTTGGCTTCGGGTAACTTGGAAGCACAACTGTCACCCTGAGCCCGCAGATGTGCACAATCTTCACTTTCAAAAGGATTCGGCTCCAAGGATTCACCGTAAAGGATGGAAAAAGCCTCCTGCGTGGCGTCAGAAGCCTTTCCTGGAGTTGACCCAATGCTTTGCAAGATCGTCTGGAGATCCCGATGCAGCCGCCGTAGAAGAAGAAACAACTGCATCGACGAAGCAACAGCAGGTTGGTCTGTGTTTGAAACGGTTCGAAAGCATCAGACTGTGGTGCGTATCGTGTGTTCAACAAGTTCGCTATGCATCAGGCCACAAGAAAACAAGCATGGAACGTTAGAAGCTCGTGGAAACCGCCACTCAGATACCTGAATAGACCGTCGCTCAATCTCCTGATCCGTCATCGCCACCAGCAGGTATGGAGGGAAGTCGCAATTTGCCCGGCCTGCAAGCACCGGACATCCCTCAGATTGTCATTTTTGTGGCCGACAAGTACGAGACTTCCAACAAACGACCACTGTCTCTTGCCCCCCCACGGAGCAGTGTGTTTCGGGTAATGTAGGTAGAGAAGATGTAGCCTCGACACACTGGTTTGTGAGCTAGGTGGCGAGCAAAGAATGCGAAGATTTCGCGCAAAAGCTGAATCGTTGATGGCGCCCGCTCTGTGCATCTCCCATTCGTCCTTCGAATACATTCGCAGGGCGGATGGATACAGAGCACTGGTCAGACACCTTATTGATTTTGACGCGTTCTCGCAAGGTAATGCATGCCGTTGGTGAGGTAAAAGAGGAAAAAGGTTTTAAAAGAGTTGAGGGGCTCGTGTGTCAAGCGCAAATGAGCAGTACCCAGAATACGTCGATAATATGGCTATCCAACGTTTCGGCAAGACAACGCTTAGTCGCAACTGCCGCCGAGCGTCTTAACTTCAAAGCCCGATCGACAAGCACCTCCGTACATCGGATCCTGAACTCAAGAGGCTGAACTTTAAGTACGTAGTTTGTGATGAATGCAGCAAGCGCTGAGAGTGCCACCCTGAAGCCAGAAGTGACGTGACAGCAGGCTGGCACGTAACGATGATACCAAATGACAGAAATTAATGAACAGCCATACATTTTTTGTGTGCCGACAAGCAGCCAGCACGAGATCAACATTTCGGATACCTTATTGGAGCTCTTTCGACAGAGTATGCTCCGTGATTTGTACCTGAAGTAGCTTACCGTACGGTGATTGAGCGCAGGAGGGTATTGGAAAGATTTTTTTGGATAGCGTCAAGCATCTTTTCAATAAAGCTCCAGCACATCTGCCCACAGTTTGCGGATCCACAAGCCTCAAACAAGGTATCCGAGAAAGACTCCGGATGCATAGATGGAGCTTGGATGCTGGGTACACTGGCCGCCGATCGTGCGCAGTATTCAGAGGAAAGGGCACTGTTTCTGTCTTGCGAAACCATGCCACTCCAGGTTGTGCGCTCCGGAAGACAATTCTCCTCTTGCGTTGCAGTTGCATCCTTCGATATTGGATACCCTGACGTGGGACCTAACCTGCGCATTGAACATAGGTTATTTGCATCATCAGGGGTTCTACTACGCATAGTACCAGGGACCTCTAAAGGGGCAGTCGTGAAGTTCCATGTTTCTGCCAAGTGCTGACGCCGCTCAGCTTCACATGTTACCATAGCTGCTGATGTTTTGAATGCCTCACCAACCGCTTATGCCTCCTGCTCTGGACGGAGTTGCATGGGCACGTTGCTGCGGCAAAAAATCCCTCTCCATGAGCATACCCTGCGAAATCCCATTGCGAGCAAGCATGCACCAGCCACCGTTAACAAGGTATATTGCAGTCATATTGGCGGTCCTGGTGGTAAGCATCGCGATGCGGAAATGACACTAACCCTCCTCCTTCTTGACCACACTGTATGAAATGAATTTGTAGATTCGCGTTGCACACAGCATAGGTTGAAGTCCTGATACGGATATGCAATCATGCCGATCTGAATACTGTAGAACAATGTATAGTCAGCAGCCGCCAGCTTGCGGTAGTGCTCGCTTGTGCAGCCACAAATAGTGGTACAAGGCAAATTCGACAAGGGCCTTTCAAGCGTACCGCGGCCTTAACTGAGTGGCTCAGGACAGACTGCACGAGAATGGCAAGCAACAAGAAGGAGGTGTCGCACTGCCTCTCTGCCAGCCCGGAGCCATCGACAAGCGTTAACAAGAATTGCCGGATAGGATTGTCACACCAGGTGTCTTCGCTTCCCACTTTCAGGTCATCAAATGACTCGAGATTGCGATTGACAATCTCCGGATGGCCAGCTTTAGTTTCACCTCCCTGATGGATTTCGCCTTCACGGCAGGCGTATGCTGTGCCGGGCGGCTCTCCAAAGAAACCAAGTTCAGTAAAGACTTTCATGGATGCCTCCAGCATTTTCAAGCGATCGTCAAAGGAGAAGGCTGATGGCTGCTCCAAGGACTCATGCTTTGATGATTGGCTCTGTGCACCAGCTCCCTGGTCGGGACCCTCGACCTTATCGGTGGTGTCGCTTTGCCCATGTCGTTGATAATCTATTCGTTGCACCTCACTGCCACTCGGTACGCCATCACTAGGAAGAAACATTTCGATGTGACCAGCACAGTCAGTGGGGTTCCGCAGGTTATTGTACGCTTCTGGAACGTCTAGATCTTTTCCCAGCAACAAATCGTGGAAGGGTTTAGGAAGCCGGTGAAACAGTAAAGCAGCTAGAATCGGGCGAAGTAGTAGCTCACTCTGAACGCACTGGTAAGCTCACATGCGTACGAACGACACGAAAATTGCACCACTCGCCTTTACTCCCCTTGCGGGGTAACATGCGATTTAGCGTGGCACTGTTTCTTGGGCGCCGGCAATCAATTTTGCCATCACTTACGTTAAAAGTCTGCATCAAGAAAAACAAAATCATGCGTTGCGCCGGGTCGAAGTTGTAAGTGTCGTGTAGCAAATCCTGTGGATGCCTTTTGTGTGAGTGAGACGTCGAAGATGAAGCTAACTTCCCGACACTGCATGTAGCTTCGTTCTGGTGGAGCAGGGAATTTTCCTGCTGCACATCGTCAAGGTGTACAGCCATTGCCTGAGCAGCACGAGCCCTCCACGACGTAGTGAGTTCTTTAGCGTCATTACGTTGAACAAGCGAACTTCTGGGATTACCTTCGTGACTGTCCTTTCCCCCATCACCAAATGTTGTATCCTTCAAATCATCTAAAGTACTCCACCCGGCCATCCAGCCCTGCTCCATCCGCTTTTCACCACCTGGAGATCCTTCGCCTCCCGTATTTTCACTGGAAAGGCTAGTATTCATTTCTTCTTCGCTGCTTTCAGATAGCTGGATTTCACTTTCTGGAGTGTTGTTCGCACTTGCACCCGCCTTAACGAGGCCCGCATGGCCTGATTCTGTCCTGCTGGCAACTGATTTCCCCATCAAGCCTGCTTTCGCAAGCAGACATACAAAGCCAGGTCTGCAGCCATTAGTCCTCAGCAGGCAGCAACAAGCACGCTTCCCGAGTGGTGAAGTGTGCTCCGAATGAGACTTCCCCGGTGCAGCTAGGTAATTTTAGGCTCCTTACCTATCACCGGCAGATAACAATGGATTAGCAGCCGTGCCGCAAGGAGCTCCGAAAATTCCTCCACATTTAGACTGAAAATGTCCTGAATGTAGAAGAGCATCTCTTCTATCTCTAATGCCCCATCTTGAATGGCGAGGTCTGGAGCAGTCGCACCATTAGCAGTTAGGCGTGAAAACTGGCGATTCAGGACCTCCCGTAAGTAGCAGGCAACATGCGAAAAGAAGATGGGTCTTTCCACGAGAAAGGCGCGAATGGCAGGGTCCTTTACTGCGCGCAGATATATCACAAAAAAGTTGAGGGACATCAGCAGCATCCACCAGAAATAATGGAGCTCTCCATTCATTTCACGCCACTACTTGTAGTTAAACGTATACATTTGCTCCAAACGCTATTTATATTAGGCAACCTAGCGGCAAGTCCTTTGCACGAGCACAGGGGTACCCATATATACCTCTGAAAAGGGTGAGCGTAACATTTCGGCAATGTGTTCGGATCATGGAATCCTTCGCAATGAAAAACTTGACAGCTTCGCTGTATAATGGGAAATGTTTTGCTCTTTCATTCAGGAAAAGCTTAATTGTTGCCGGGTTGACGAGCATCGATAGGCTCTTGATGAACGATATATACCAGCTCGCAACCTCCTCATCCTCGAAGTCAAATTTCGTGCTGAGCAAAGAGTTGATGTAGTTGTTGCTGAACATGTAATCTACACAAGAAAACCACACGGACATCCACTTTATACCAAAAGAAAAAGCAAGGCTTTAGGATGTTTCCACGGGTATAAGCTTGCCCACGGAATGCACTACATGACCCTAAGGAACCAAGCGCGGACCTTCTAGACTTACATACTGCGGTTTCCTTGTTGATGCTCTGCACTATGATGCTGAGGGTCTGAAGAAGCTGCACTTTGACAGCATTTGGCACAGTCGGTCGCTCCGCCAATTGAACAAAGTATGACAGAACATTTTGTTCGCAAAAGATATCGAAATATCCTCGGTTATGCTGTTCGCCCCATACAAGTACTTCCGCAATCTGGCGTAGTGTCTCAATTGTATAATCTCGGTTTTTGTCATCGACCGTCTCATAAGAAGGAAGCGAATCTAAGAGGGCCCTGCATCACGCCGCAAGCACAATCACACAAGCGACAATCACCTGTAACCACACTGGACGAATCGCTCCAAGGCCGTGTCGTTAATGATCAGTATTCTCTTACAGCATGTGATCAGCGGAGTAGAAGTCCTGCTTAGGAACTTCGGTCACGTCCCTCTGCAAAGAGGCGCTCGAAGCACCCGTCCAGAGCCACATTGTTTCATCCCGACGATAACCTATCAGCAACTTTAATGAAACATTACTACATTGTACGAACAAAGGAGAAGCATTTAGTTTCTGTGTAGCATCGACCTGCAGTAAATTGGCTCTTATGCCCAATTGTGCCGCCAATAGTTGCCGAATGAATGCAGCTCCACGAAACTAGATACAAGTGTTTACCCTTTTTTCACCTCTCTTATTGATATATTTTGTGACTGAGGTGCTTGATGCTGCCAACGCTAATTGTCGCTCTAACAGAACGATGGATAACCTGCTGAAGCTGGCCGCATGCACTCAAGACACCACTCGTGCAGCGGCTAGCAGTCCACAATCAAAAAATCGAATGTGCTCACGAGCGTTCTTCCCTGCAATGTTCCCAAGTAATTATATTTCGCGAAATGCTCTCCAAAAGGCACATTCTACCCGGTCCACGTCTATGAAGTCAGGGAGCGATTCCAGGATTGTTTGTTTTCTCTGGGTGTTGATGTTTCTGGATATACAGCTCTCTCCTGTGCACCAAATTCGTCTTGTTTCAATTCTTAATGCATTGCAGCAAGACAACAATGAGCATCTTTGGTAGACAGCTATTCAATATGCGATGTTCACGGTGTCCAGCGCGAAAGGTACCTTGCCAAACCGCCAAAGCGGATGGATGTGCGATTCTCTACACGCGTAAAAATTGATAGACATCATGATTCCAAATAGGAAGCTCCACTCGGGGGGGCCACATTTGTTCGGCCTACTTCCCTTCGTCATGCACCTTCTAACACTATTGAAAGTCTCCACAGGAAGACAAATGCGTGCTCGGAATACAAACATCAGAAAGTCGTTGAGTGCTTTTCCGAAGAAATCCCTGCCTTGGCTTTTAGCACCCCCCAGAGGTCCTGACCTCAGGGTAGAGGGACAGCTTAGGTGCTCTTAGCTCCACCCTCTTAGCAACCCGACCATTGGCAGCTAGTTGTAGACAGAATATACCGGTAGCACACACAACATTGCGTGCTCGTGTATCAGGCTGATGGTACACTACAATAAGTAAGATATACGAGCATACAAATCAGCTAGTGAATTCTCCTCTGTTTGTTAAATATTGCTGCGCGTTATAGAAAGTCTTCAAATGTAGCTTAGCCCGTTACAAGCCCTCCCTGCAGGTCTACCCTAAAGTATGCAAAGGGCAATGAAATACTGTCAGAATTCTTTTGAAGCGAAATTTATCGAGTTTGCATTTTTCCAATTCTGCAGGGCAACGATGGAGGCTCGAAGCACTTGGGCATGTGGATATTTGTTGTCGTATAGTGCATGTAAGCGGATACCAATTCACCTTTGTACGCATTTATACAGGGAAAAAGTGATCAATGGAAGATGAGTGTGTTTCTATGAAAACACGTTGAAATACCACACAAGCTTTGAAAGTGCCTGGGGAAACTGGAACAGTAATGCTGGTGGGACGTGTGAAATAGGTTCTTTGAGCCGCATGGCTCCACAGGGGAATGCAGTTTACAGTAATGAGAACGCTACTGAACTAACGAATTGTGTGTGTTTCGCAAGGCGGAATATATAACAGTTAAGTAGCTATTGACAAAACGTGACTTATTGCTCTCCGGGACGTTCGAAATGCTTCTAGGGTCACCACATGCACGAGCACTGCACATAATAATCTGGGGCCTCGCTGACCACAAACGAACTCGAGGAATTTATAACGAGAGCTAGCTGCGTCATTTATATCCCTCTGATGGCATCACCGTCGCCTTGGTAATTCAAAGCCTGCAAGCGAGCTGAAAGGACGTAGAGCCACTGTTTTACTTACCTGATCCATGAGCGAAATGCTCATTTGCAGTCGATAGCTGAGTGTGTTCTACGTATTCGCTTAATGGCACAATGCCCCATGTACAAAAGATCCCACAAGGATTCAAAGGTACATGTTACCCGCCATGTCCAGTTCAAACGGAAGTAACAGTCTTATCCCGGCGAAATAATATAGTGTCCCCCTCAGCACATTGTCTTTTTTTCCCAGGCCTAGATTATATTTCATCCCAAAGGCCACAAAGCTACGTGACGAGTAAACCGTCAGTGAAGGAGTGGGAGAGCCAACCTTTCGTCGATACAGGCTGGCTTCACGATTCGGCATGCATAAAATGAGTTAAAATGTTGAACACTGGCCGCGACTCAAGATTGCTCAATGATATATGATCTGCCACGCAGGACATGTTGCGGCAAGTCCTTGCGTCGGGCAAAATGCCATCCCTCGAAGTCTGACACTTTCAGTACTCCCCATCGCACGCTTCTCGGTCAAAAATTTACCCCTTTATCAATCTGCTCGAAACTCGGAGCCTTTGAGCATCACAACTTTGCTAAAATTCGCACGGGTAATTTTAAGTGTGATGCTTTTCGCAGTGGATTGCCTAGTGCCGTGTGTTCCTTGAAAACACTTTTTGCAACGCTAAACGTTGTACAACACGCAAGTCAAAAAAATAAATTGCGAGAGACAAGGTGGGTAGCGAATAATTATTCATTGTGGAAGCACACTTAGTATTAATTCCAGGGCTGTCGCCGTGGGTATAGCATGTGTTGGCAGATCGTTTCTCCAGGGACTCTGCACACGGCTCCGATGTAAAGTGAAAACCACAACCTGATCATCAGCCTCTTCAGCAATTTTATACAAAGACACCATGCAGGTACACTCCCAAGAGTTCACACCAATGCAATCACTGCCCAAGTACAGCTGCTGTACCAGCATGAAAGGCAACGCTCTTGAATGTAAAGCGCTTCACATAGGGCAATAGCAGGCAGACACGTAACTCTAGGCTCAATGAAAACTCATCAGAACTTTCTTTAGTCTAGTTTGAAAAAGCTCACGTCGTCCCTACCCGTACCTCCCAAAGTTGCCGGTATGGACGGAGAGGAACAACTAGGGTGATTGAAACAACACCATCTATGTAATTCGATCGTTCATAGCCAGCTGCCCAAAGCGTCTAGCGCAGCGCTTGCAACATTGAGCCTTCTTGCACGGAGCTAAGAGCAGTCTACGATAAAGAAGATATGCGAACAAGCCACTAGTTCAAAATTATTACGAAATCTTACTTTAATATTGCTCGTGCAGTATGAGCGATTGATTGTTGTTCAGCATGAGACATCTTGCTCCACTCCTCACTTCGAAGCGCACACCCTCGTATTCGATACATGTACGTAAGGATCAACTATATACATGACAGGTGAAGCCCAGTATGGCCACCTGAGTTTCAGAGGGCTTGTAAAGCGGCGGATGAGCGTCTCTGCTGAGGCATCAGCGTGCTCTGTCCAGGTCCTAGACTGTTTTCGCAACTAGCTATATCAAGCATGGGCGGATAAATTACAGCAGACCCACGACTTTAATTTCGAAATTGATATGCAGGTCCCTCGAACTTCTGGGTATTTTGGCCGGTGCGCAAGTGTAAAGCCCACACCTTCATTGCTTCAACTTACGTCGGAACTGGCTGCAGTCCTGTGAATACCTGTTGGACCTATTCATGTCCCATCTAAGATGCATCATCAGGTCTACTGAAGATGCGCCAGTCCATCCAAGAGAGCTGGATGACATTTAAACCTGCCTCATGCATTAGTACCCAGCCGAAACATTCAAAAGCAGCCAAGCACAGGCTCACCTGTTACGAGGCAACAGTGGTACGCGACGGCATACACGTGCTCTTTTTTTCATCATAACAGTGGTGCTGAAAAAGGACCATGCTCCGCCTTCAAGGAATTGACGCAACTTTGGAACAAGTTTAACCAATTGCAGTACGGCCTTTCCACTTGACCACCCGTCAGGACACCCGGGAATTCCAAGGGTCTGCATCTTGATTCTGAAATTGAAATTCATGGGTTTG